TAAATATATAATTATATATGTATATATAGTATATATATATATATATATATATATATATATATATATATATATATATATATATATATATATATATATATATATATACATAGATATATATATATATATATATATCTTTATATTATATAAAGGTTTCTCCTTCCCATGGAATTGCATTTCCTAATTAGAGTTTTATAATCATCTTTTTGCTGTGCTACCTCAAGTTTTTACCAAAGCAAATCTTTGGACTGATGCATAACACATTAAACAACAACCTTATCACGTTGGAAATTTTGCAGAAAATGAGTCCAGAAAGCTGCTACATAATATTTATATTCTTCAATAAATTGCTGAGAAGTATAAATGCTATGCAGCAATCCTATTCATTGATAATTTTTAAAAATTCAATGGGGTCATGTCTGGCTGTTTTGGATGCAACCTAGATCCAAATTGTCGACAAGTTATTGGACCGTTCAAAGTGTCTTATCTGGCATTAAAAAAAAAATATTCATGCTAGAACTTAAGTTTAGATATTCATGCTAGAACATAAATTCATCACTCCAAAGAACTTTTTCCCACTGGTTTGGTGTCTAATCGTATTAATCCAAAAAGTATTTTTATGAACTTAAGCTTTTGAGTTTTTTTACAGAAACAAGTGGTTTTATCACTGGTCTCAGTCAAACAAAGAAGCCTTACAAAGACAATATTTGGTGGTTAACACAGAGCATTCTTGGAAACATTAAATTAATTTGCAATTTGATAATAAGACGTTTTTGATTCAACTGATTTTAAGATTAATTATTTTACAGGAGAACTATTTTTTTTCTTCCCATTTTGAATTAAGTAAGATTAGTAAAATTAAATTAAACTTGCATAAAAATTAACTGAAATATTGAACAAAACATAAATAAATTAACTCCCCTGTTAATAAAACTACTTTGGAAACTAAAAGTTTAAGTGTGCTTAAACTTTTGAAACACAAATAAATCGTTAACTTTTTAAAATTTAAATTAAATGCTATTTTGAAAAATTGTTTTGATTTTCAGAAAAATAATATTGTTAGTTATAATCAGTGAAAATTTCAAGAGTATTTAACGCATCATTAAAAATTTATAGCGAAGTAAGTGATCGTTCTTAAAGGGATCCCAAAATGCAGAGACAAGTTGTATTTATTTTAAAGGAAATGTATAAAAAAAAATGTTTGGGCAGAATTTTTTCAAGTAAAACAAAATAATAAATGTATAGAAAGAAAAACAAACTTTGTTGTTTTACTCGAAGCTTGCCGTCTCCAAGTTAGTCAATCACTTAAAGTCTTAAAAATAAACGTCATAATCTACAGACTTTATAATTTATTCAAGCGCGTTTAATTCCAAAGAGTAAATTACATCATTGTAGAATTTCAATAAGAAATCTGAAAATTCTTTTCTTTTTTATCAAATTATAGAATTTTTTAAATTATTATTATAGATTACTGAAGAATTTGCTTAGTTATTTATTATATATTAAAGTTTTTTTTTCGTCATAAATTACTAATTTCCTTAGTTATTTTATTTTCTAAATTTTGCGAAGTTAAAAATTATATTTTAGCATTAAAATATAAATAAAATGTTTCAAATATTTTAAGCTTGTCTGTTGCTATAAATTATTTTTTTTTTGTTATATTTATTGTTATTAATTGATTATTATCCTTAAGATTCTGTTTAAAAATTTTTTTGTATTATTTAACACTACCGCAAGCTGCTGACAACAGCTTTTGATCTTTTCAAATTTTGACTCCAAGCCGCTCGTAGCAGCTTTCGAGTATGCTTTACAATTTATCTTGTTTTGTACATAAGTTTTCACTCTAGACACATATAATTTGTTTGTTCTTAAGGTTTAATTAATTCTCTATATAATCAAGAACAAATAAGAGCCGTATTGTGTTACTAAAAAAAGTTATCACTAGACAAAGTTAAAAAATCTTGATTAATCCTTGAATTAAAAAAACTTCTTTTAATTTAGTTTTAAAAGAAAGCAGTAAAATTGTAAAATTTAACTCATAGATGTGTATAAGTATTTAACTAAGTAATTAAAAATGTCCTCTAAAAATACTTGATTCTTTTTTCCAGTGAGCAAATCCAGGTTTTTTTATTTTGTGTAAAATCAAGACCCAAGTTATTTAAATTTATATTTTAACTGTTTATACTTATTTTCTTGTAACAATTTGCGATAGATAGATAATTTAATAGATTTATTATATTAAATAACTCTTTTTAATATATTATAGCAAAATATTTAAATAAATTAAAAATGAGTTAGATATTCAAGCACTTATTATATTCAGGTCAAGGTTTTATAAAAAATGCGAAAACCTAGATTTGCCCACTGGAAAAAAGTTTCCAGCTCGAAAAACATTATTTTTATACATTAAGTCTTTCGCACCGAAACCACCTGAAATTTAGTGATGAAGTTTGTAAATGACCCCTAAATTGACAGTTTTTTTAGAATGCTTGATTTTGATTAAAAAAATTTTTGTGAAAGTTCATGTGATTATAATGTTCGTTATCACTGATATTTTAATTTTTTTTTTAAAGATTTTTTTAAAAATTCATTTACCAAAATTGTTTGTTAATTAAAAATTTAAGAATTTGTAAAATGTCATTTTGATAAGAGAACAAAAATATCATAGTGATAAACGGAAAAAAGTTCACGTTTTTTACATAAAAAGAAAAATGATTCAGAATATATAATAAGGTGATCAATTTCTTTTTTGAATATTTATTATATTTATTATATTTTAACATAAAAATCTTAAATTTATTTGGTTCTCGCGCACTCTATAAAAAAACATTTTTTTGTTTAGCTTCTTATAAAATTTATAGGAAAGTCATAGGAATTAAACGCGCTTGAATAAATTATAAAGCCTGTAGCTTGCAACCTATACTTTAAAGACTTTAAGAGATTAGCTAACATAGAGACAGTGAGCTTCAAGTAAAACAACAAACTTTTTTTTTTTGGTATATATTTATTATTTTGTTTTAGTTAAAAAAATTCAGCTTGAAAATTTTTTTATCATTCTCTTTAAAATGAACACAATTTGTCTCGGCACTTTGGGATCCCTTTTAGCTTTAGGATGCTACTGAATAAATATGTGTGAACCTTGGCATAAATATGTGTGAACCTTGGCATAAATTAAAGTAGAGTAAGAAGTTAAACTTTAGTTAACAGTTAATTATAGTTTAATAGTAATTTCATCCAATTCCAATTTAATTTAAATTTAATTTTAATTAAAGTTTTTTTATCTAAGTTTGTATTTTGTCAGTACTTACAGAGGGTTAAAATTTAGGAGACAAGAAGATTTGTTTCTTAATATATTAGGTTTCATCTGAGTTAAGTAGTTCAATAATTGTTTCTAATACTAATATATATATATATATATATATATATATATATATATATATATATATATATATATATATATATATATATATATATATATATATATATATATATATATACATATATATATACACACACATATATATATATTTCAACATCTTTACTTCCAACAAGGTTACAAGCAACTATTAGAGTTGGAAATTATTGGAAGAAAAAATTGAAGTTTATAGAGCAAAATAATGATTTACAGGCAACTTAAAAGATAGCAAGTTCTATGAATCAGGAAAACAAGATGAAGGAAACAAATTCCAAAGTACTGATGTTCGAGTAAAAAAACTAGACAAATAAGAATTTTTGGAGTACTTAGGGACAGTCACAGTAAAAGGATGAGACTTAATTAAATGATAAGTAACTCGAAAATGAATTTTAGTAGATGGTACAATATAGTTTTGACCCTGGTATAAGAGATGCAATGTTAGAATTTTCTTTGGTAATGGCTATCAAAGAGTTTTTCAAAAGTTACACACATTTTTTGATTTTTTATTTTCTCATTTACATACTTGTATTTATTTATATATTTTTTTTTCATTGGTTTACAAATTAAGCTTTTTAAATAAATATGCAGTCTTCAGTGGGCTTCAGTTTAGGATGTCCTTGTTGCTATATTTTTCTATCAAAAATTTTATTGATCAGTAAATAGTTTAAAAATATTTAAAATGTTGTTAAATAGTTACACTTTATCTATGTTTACATAAAATAAAGTATTGTGAATGAAATTAAACTAAATATTTAATTGTCATGCTTTTTTTTTATAGAAAAAATTTTTTCTGCAAATGGATATTGGAGTGAGTGGAGTGAATGGACAGAATGCAGTGCTACATGTGATGGAGGTGTTAGGTCTAGGAGGCGTACATGCAATAGTTCAAAAAGCATAGGGGCTTATTGTGATGGAAATAAAGAAGAAGTTGAACCATGCAATGAAGAAATTTGTGCATCTGGTAAGAGTTTTTTCATAACCAGGTTTTAGAAAATCATTTTAATATAGTACTCAAATTTAAGTTATAAAAATTTTAATCATAACAATATTGTAGCAATATAAAATTATAAAAATTCGTATTATATAACACTCAGAATAAAGTACACTCACAATAAAGTAACACTCACAATAAAGTTTCTGTTCAAATTGAAATACCACACATATAATATCTATAACAATAATAATATATAACAATATGTATATATATTTTGAAATAATTTTTTTTACATTTCATGCTTATTTACTAATAGTATTAGTACTAATCAAATAGTATTAGTACTAAGGGTACTTGTAATACTTTTGCAAACTTGAAAAATAAAAAAAAATTCTTCTTACTTGATTTGATTACTTGCAAGTTATTGCAGTATTATGAGTATTATCATTGCATTATTAGAGTCTCTAGCAAAGTTAGAGACAGTGATAACATTAAATTCACATTTATTATATGTATATTAACTTTTTTTTTTTTTTATTTGCATTCACTCCCAACAAGGCTGCAAGCAACTACTATTAAGTTGGGAGTTACTTGGAAAAAAAAGAACAGAGTTACAGAGCAAGGAAACGGTTGATAGAAGACTTTAAAAGTTGAAGGTTGTATGAGTCAGGAAAACATGAAGATGGGAGAGAGTTCCAAAGGATTGAAGTGCGAGGAAAAAAACTAGATGAATAAAAGTTTTTAGAGCATGCAGGGGCAGATACAGTAAACGAATGAGACTTAGCTGAATGACGAGTAAAACAAGAATGAATTTTAGTTGATGGAACTAGAGATGATAACTCTTTTGAGCAGTGACCATGATAGTATCTGTAGAAAAGAGAAAGAGATGCAACTTTACGACGATGGGAAAGAGGTTCAAGCTTAGCAGATAGTCCAGGTCCAACAACATTTACAATGCGTTTTTTGACCTTGTCAAGAAGAGAAAGTGAATCGTTAGAAGAACCAGCCCAAATATGACAACAGTATTCCATACAGGGACGAATAAGAGATTTGTAGAGGTAGAGAATGGAATCAGAAGTAAGAAAATGGCGAGCACGATAGAGAGAAGCAACCTTAGCAGAAGCTAATTTAGCAATCGATTGTATATATGGTTTCCATGAAAGGTCAGTAGTAAGCGATAATCCAAGAAGACGTAAAGAGGACGACTCAGTAAGAGGATTGCCATTCATTAATATAGGAATGTTGACCATATTATGGTAGTTGTTTGCAGTAAACAACTGGGTTTTGTTAGAGTTGAAATTCACAAGCCACTGTGAACCCCAATCTATTACTAAAGTGAGATCAGATTCAAGATCAGCTGCTTGTTCTAGGCGATCGAAAAGAGAAGACTTTTTGTCAAGACAGGAGTATAAAATTGAGTCATCAGCAAAAAGAGCTACTTTAGATGAAAGGTTGTCAGGAAGATCGTTTATGTAGATAAGAAACAAAACAGGGCCCAGGGTGGAACCTTGGGGAACCCCAGAAGTTACTGGAAATAAAGAAGAGTGTTGGCCTTCAAGGATGACTTTAATAAACCGGTTAGAAAGAAATGATTTGATAATCTCAAAAACTTTCTCAGAAACACCATATGAAGCAAGCTTATGGAGAAGACCAGCATGCCAAACTTTGTCGAAAGCTTTAGATATGTCGAGAGCAATAGCCCTAGCCTCACCGCTTCCATCTAATGCACAATAAAATCTTTCAGTTACAGCAGTTAGCAAGTCGGCCGTAGAGCGAGAGGATTAAAAACCGTATTGATTGTCTGACAGTAGTTTATTTGACTCAAGATGAGATGTGAGGAATTTGTTGATCAAAGATTCAAAGACCTTGCTAATAACAGAAAGAAGACTGATCGGAAGATAATTGGAGGGGTCAGAATTTTCTCCAGAGTTTTTGAATATTGGAACCACAGATGCCATTTTCCAACAAGCAGGAAAACAAGACTCAGTCAAACACTTGTTAAATAGTTTAGAGAGAATTGAAGAAAGTTCTGGAGAACGATTCTGCAAGACTGTGACAGGAATGTTGTCTGGACCACAAGCTGTAGACGAGTTTAATTGAGATATGATTTTAGCAACAGAAGCCGGAGTGATTTGAATGTCTAACAATGGGTCAACCTGTATGACTGGAATGGAAGGAAGAGAATGTCCATAAGATTCAAGAGTGGAATTAGAAGAAAAGTTCTTTGCAAATAGTTCTGCCTTATCTTTGGGAGAGGTAATAAGATCACTCCCATGAATGAGAGATGGAATGTTAGATCTACCCTTGTTAATAATGCTGTTGAAGATTTTCCAAAAGTCTTTAGAGCCTAACTTCTGTGATAAGATGCGAGATTTAGTGAACTGAGAATAACGGAGTTTAGCATCAGAAAGCACCTTTTTACATCGATTTCTTGCAATAATAAATAGCCGTTTGTTCTTAAGAGAGTTGTTCTTCTGAAAAGATGAAAAAAATGATTACGATTGGATATAGCAGCCGCACAAAAAGGAGAAAACCATGGAGTAGAATGAGGCTTGACTTGAAACCGGCGAGAAGGAATAAAAGCTTCCATTCCAGCCTGAATCCAGGAGGTTACATAGGAGGCGCATTTATCAGCTGAGAGAGAAAAAACATCAGCCCAAGGACCATCACAAAGAAAATCACGAAAAGAATACCAGTCAGCTTTAGAGTAGTAGTAGGTGGTGCAATGATAAGGTGAGCCCAAAAAAGAATTATGAGAAGAAAGATTTACAGAGGTCATTGCATGGTCAGAACCACCTAAGGGAGAAAAGGGAGAAACTGAACATAAGCTAGGGTCAGAGACAAGACATAAGTCAAGGAGTGAAGGTAAATGATTAGGGTTGTCAGGAAAACGAGTCACAAAGTTAACTATCTGATTAAGAGATTGAGAAACGCAGAAGTTAAAGGCTTTAGTGCCAGCAGGATCAGTGGTGTTAGAGCCAAGCTATTCAGTGTGATGGGCATTAAAATCACCAACAACTACAATATTGGCAGAGGGGTAAAGAGAAAGGGCATGGTCAATTTGATCAGAGATAACATCTAAAAGAGTGCAATCATAGGAAGAAAGAGAACAATAAAGAACAAAGAGAAAGGTGATAGAGTGAAGAGGTGCTAGGCGAAAGCACAAAAAAGAATGGTCAAAGGATTCGAACCTGATTTCACGACAAATAGGGGAATTAATGCGTATGTATACCCCTAAACCTAGCATGTGACTATTGGAGTCTTTACGAATCAAAGGATAGTACCCATCAACACTGACATCTGAAAAAGGAATTGCAGAACTTAAATTTGTTTCACTGAGTGCAAGCAGGTCTGGTGAATTTTGCAGGAGGTAAGACTCAACTGGCGGAAAGTTGCTTCGTAGACCGCGAATATTTGTAAAAGATATATTAAAATATTTAGGCGGTGGGGATGGTTTTTTAGGTTTTAAATTTTTGGTTACTTTGGTCATGATTTGGGTTTAATGAGAACTTGACTCATTCATAGATAGAGCACAGCCTCCTAATCAATGAGCTATGCAGTTGTCTCAGTCCTGTTAATTAACCCTAAGCCGTGACATAGGGCTCCTTATGTGGCCTTGACAATGCACACCAAAAGCATTAACAGGGATACCATCCATGCGCAACATGGCACTGTTAATACTCTGATATTTTGCAGCTGTTGATGGAATCAGCCTCTCTGAGAGCTACCACAGAGTTCGGGAAACCTTACTACCAGCCGGCCTCAGAACCATTAAACTGAGTTTTAGAGCTGTACCCTCATATGAAGATAACAGGAAGAGTTGCATAGCCATTATCAAGGAGGCATAAGGAAAATTCTATGAGTAGAGTCAAGGATACCCAGCATTCATCATTCTAGGCAGGAAACAATGTAACACAGGTTACATCTATGCCAGCCTAATAGATGAAGAAGGGGTTCGAGGCTGGTTAGCAGAATTTTTCTGCTTACCCCTAAAGTCTTTGCCTAGGAAGCCTTCTACAAGACAGTAGCTGGATGCAGTTAACATCTGCCCAAGATGAGTATTTTTATCGAGACATCATCTCTAGCCTTTACTCAACCAAGAGCCCCAAGGCAGGGGATGTTTAGCTGGATGCAGTTAACATCTTCCCAAGATGAGTATTTTTATCGAGACACCATCTCTAGCCTTTACTCAACCAAGAGCCCCAAGGCAGGGGATGTTTAGCTGGATGCAGTTAACATCTGCCCAAGATGAGTGTTTTTATCGAGACACCATCTCTAGTCTTTACTCAACCAAGAGCCCCAAGGCTTGGGAATTTCTGGTCGGAGTTTATTTCTCCTAGCCTTTGCCTAAGAAGAGCACACTCTGCAAGGCAGCAGGGCTTGTGGCAGGTGGTACTTGGTTACATGATACCAGTAGCAAGATTGATCTTGATTATCCTGACCTGACCTGGAGTAGTTGAAAGGAGTTATTTCTCGCAACAGTACTTTGAGAAAACCAGGCATGACATTTTGAAAGTGCATTAGGAAAAACACTGCATCTAACAAAATACAGGAGTCTAAGGTGAGTGTAGGTTTTGTAGTTGGAGTAAGTAGCTAGTTACTGAGCTCACGCTGCATCAGAGAATAAACAGAACACAAACAAACATAAATCAACTTCCGGGTGAGTCAACACCGCGCCAGAGGTTCAAACAGAACACAAACATACATAAAAAACATAAAGTAACTTACAGGTGAGCGAACACCGCGCCAGAGGTTCAGACAGAACACAAACATACATAAAAAACATAAAGTAACTTACGGGTGAGCGAACACCGCGTCAGAGGTTCGGAAAGAACACAAACATACATATAAAGTAGATTACAGGTGAGCTAATACAGTAACTAAGGCACCTCCAACTATAAAAATATATATATATATATTACTATAGACATGACTGATATAAGATAGTACTGATGACAGGAAGCACACTGCTTCCAGCCTTTGCTTAGAAAGCAAATCCTGCAAGGCAGCTGAGCATGGAACAGGTTGCACTGGGTTACATGTTACCAGTAGCAGGATGATCAAGACCATACTCCTGACCTGACAAACTTTCTCTACAACAAAGATGTCAAAGACAGCAATCATTTGTTTAAACTTAATAGGCTGTTCAGATAGTCCAACATTATTTACATTTTTTGAGCATTTTTTTTTCGTTTATCTAATTATATCATTGTTCTTAAAAATAAGTCTTAGAAGTTATGATTGTTTGGGATTTTCTCTTGTGCGATTCTTTTTTTTTGCAGTAGTTATACAATACTTTTTACAGGATTAAATCAAAGTTGTATAACCTTTTTTGATTTAATTTGAATTCCATAATCGTGCACAGAAATATATAGTCTGATATATAATGACAAAAGTTGTGGGCTTTAATAGCTGCAGAGTCACTGACACTAGAGCCAAGCCATTCAGTGTGATAAACATTAAAGTCACCAAAACAACAATATTGGCTGATGGATAAAAAGAGAGGGTCAATATGATAAGAAATAACATAAAGAAGAGTGCAGTCTTGAGATGAAGGAGAGGAATATAGAACAAAGAGAAAGATGATAGAGTGAAATGGTGCTAATGGTGTAACAAAATGGTGTAATGAAAATGTGTAACAAAATGGTGTAACGAAATGGTGCTAATGGTGTAACGAAATGGTGTAACGTAATGGTGTAACGAAATGGTGAAATAGTGTAACGAAAGCACATAAAAGAGTAGTCTGTCGATTCAAACCTAGTTTCCCAACAAATGGGTGAATTCTTACGAATGTAAATTCACAGTCACAGGCCAAGCATGTGACTATTGGAGTCTTTACGAAATAAAGGAAGATAACCATCAAGATGAGTTGTAAAAAAAATATTACATGCGTGATCTTATAAAAAATACATTTTATTTTGTTGGGTTTTGTTGGACATGTCTGCCAAACCAAAGCAGTTATTCGATAAGTTATCTGAAACAAAAAAGTTTGTTATTTCCTGCCGTGTATGAATAAAAGTTATTAGAGCATGAAGGAGCAAATACAGTTAAAGAATGTGAATTTTCTTTTGGTCAATGTAACTAGAGATGATAGCTCATTTGAACAGCAACCATAATACCATGATTAGAGATGTAATTCTAAAAGTATCCCAGACAGCTTTAAGTTAGTTGTAAGTAGTTCAATGATTAAGCATGTCTGAAATAAAAGTATGAGAAATAAGATATAGAGACATCATAGCATGAATTTTGCATGAAGTAAGGCTCAACTGATAAAAGTTATTTTGAAGACCATAAATAATTGTTGATTACACCTGACTTGATTAGATATAGTACATGGCACCCTAAGCAATAAACTTTTTAGTTGTCTCATTTTCACTAACTAGCCTTAAGTTATAACAAAAGGCTTCTAATGTGGCTTAGCAAATCAAAAGTATTAACAGAGACATAATTCATGGCCAAAATGGTGTTGTAAATACTCTGATTTGTAGAGCTGTTCATGGAATCAGCCTCTCCGAGAGGCTGATTCTATTAACAGAGTTAGGAAACTTTAATATAAGCTGACCTCAGAAATATTAAAATGAGTTTTAAACCTGTATCCTCATTTTAAAATAACAGAAGAAGTTGCAGTTACTATCATAGAGGCACAAGAAAAAAATATAAGTAGAGTTAAAAAGTTCCGGTATTCATCATCCTAGACACCAGCCAAATAGATAAACAAATATAAAGTGTTTAATAGTTTTCATTTTAATAGTTTTTTTTAAGTCTTTGTTGTGCTTATTTTAGATATATATTGCTCAAAATTGTTTTTAAGAGCTTTTAAGTGCTGCAATCCAAAGATATTATATATAAGTATTATAACTTATTGCTACATTATTAAATTATAACTTATTGTTATTTTAAATTGTTTTCAAATGATATTAACTTAATCTTGTCCTATAGCAGATATCAACAAGTTTGTGTTCTTATTTCTTAGTTTTACGTTTTGAGTTTTCTTATTTAGATGTCTTAGTTCTTATTCAGGTTTATCCTTAATTGAACTTTATATTACAGTTAAAGTTTCGTACTCAATAACATAACTATAAATAAGATTGTTTTAATAACAATAGACTTGTGCTTTCACTAGTATTAATACTACTTTAATATATTGACTTGGACCTCATTCACATAACTCTTGCTTTATGCTAATAAATAATGTTTCCAAATGATATTAACTTAATCTTGTCCTATAGCAAATATTAACAAATTTGTGTTTTTATTTCTTAGTTTTACGTTTTAAGTTTTCTTATTTCTATGTCTTAGTTCTTAATAAATTAACTTAGTTAAATTTCAGCTAATTCCTAATGATGAATAATGACAATGATTATTTAACCAGTGAAGAAATTTGAGAAAAAAACAAACAAAGATATTTACAAGTTTTTAAAGATTTTATTATGCAAGCTATTTTATGTAACAAACTTTTTGCAATATTATCTTTAAATTGAATATTTATATGCAGAGAAAATTTAATTGGCATTTTTGATACAATAAAAAAATATTTGTTAGCAAAATATATGGTTTAAAAAAACTGTGAAAAAATGGTTTTCTTTCTAGTAATGAGTCGTATTGGTAACTTTATTAAAATTTTAATGTAAAAAAATTTTTTAACATAAAACAACTTTAGTTGCAATAGGTCGTCATTGTTTTTTTGTTTAATTTTACTGATTTTGAAAACATAAGCTAAAATTTGTTCGTTTGTTAATATTTAGTTTCATAATTATAATTGCGGGTTTACATTAAATTTAACAACAACAAACGACAAAAGTTTCCACGGATTCATTTTCCGCGGATTAGTATTACCCGCAAAATATATGAAAACCTAGTTCCAAATTATTTTTATTGTTGGTGTTTTGTTGGTTTTATTGTTATTATTATTGATATTATTATTAATATTATTATTATTATTATTATTATTATTATTATTATTATTATTATTATTATTATTATTATTATTATTATTATTATTATTATTGTAGTATGCAACAAACAAATAGAAATTGGATTTCTATTGGACGCTTCAACAAGTGTCACATCAGCTAATTGGAAAATAATAATAAATTTTATTCAAGATTTTTCTAAACAGTTTAAAATGGGTCCAACTGGTGTGCGGTTTGCAGTTATTGATTATTCTGATGATGCCATACTTCAAATTAGTGTTTCAGATCCCAGATTTTGGGATCATGAAACTTTTGGTGAAAAAGTCTCCAGCATTGAATACTCACATGGTAAGGTTTAAAGCATTACTTTTTTATAAATGTATAAAAATTTACCTAAGTTCTATAGTTACTTTGTTTTGCTCAATGAAAGTCTTTGTTGTGGCTTTTTAATGCCTTAGTGAAAGGCTCTTAATTTTGTACATTTATGTATACATTATAATTTTAAAAAATTCTACCAATAATTTTTATTGAAATCATAAAGGCTGGTCTTAATCTTTAATTGATTCTGTGCTAGATTCATACTACATAAAAATTTTTTAAAATAATTAGTAGTTTTTAACCGTTAAATTTTCTAGACTCTCTTGTTTTTATCACTTAATTTTATTGCATCTAGTCATTAAACAATTTCTAACAACAGAATATTGAAATATTTGCTGAAGCCAGAAGCCTATAATTTTTTATACGAGAAATTTTTTTAATTTTTTCTCTGGAGAAGTTTCTTTAATTTTTTCAGACAAGATTTGGATTTAGAATACTGATGACACTGGCTTACGGCACTATTATTATTATTATTTTTTTATTTTACCTACTGTACAGTATCAAACAAAACAAGTGCAACCAAATAATGCTAATTTAGTTTCTTTATATAAAAGTGCTGCATTTTTTCAATTTAGAAAAAAAAAAAGAACTATGTAACTGTTTTGAGACAACATTCTTCAAGTTTTATTCATCACAAAAATCATTATTTGTACACAAAAATTAATAAGTTAATCAAAAGTATTAAAAAAAGTTGGTTTCCTTCTGGGCAAAACAAGTGCAACTCCACAAAATGTTGACCAAGTTGTATTTTGCTATCAATGTTTCGTGGCGAATCCTTTGTTGTTGATCACAGCCTTGCATCTTTGAGGCATAGATTCAATCAGGTGATTAATGAAGCTTTGTAGAATCGCTGCCCAAGCCTTTTGGATTTGTTCAAACAGTTGATCCTTATTATGAACATCTTTACGATTAATTCTGCAGTTGACCATCTCCCACAGGTTGATAGGGTTGAGATCCGGAGATTGATGCGGCTAATCCATCACCGATAGGTGGTTGTCTTGAAACCACTGCTTGCCTACTTTTGTAGTGTGTTTCGGATCGTTGTCTTGCTGAAAAACCCATTTTATTGGCGTATTCCATTCAGCATGAGATAACATAACATCTTTCAGGATATTTTTATACATGAAACGGTCCATTATTTCAATGTATTGGACCTAGACTGTTAGCAGAAAAACACCCCCAGACCATTACATTGCCTCCACCATGCTTCACGGTCTTACGGCAGTATGTAAATCGAGGCATTTTCCGGCCCAATGATATTGAACTTTGATTCATCACTGAACAGGACAGTTCGCCATTTCTGTACATTCCAGTCAAAATGAGATCTAGCAAACAGGAGTTTTTTTTTCTAGTTCTTTAATTAAATCAGCGGTTTCTTTGCAGGGCGTCGAGAAAACAATCCTGTTTCAACAGCACGTTGTCTGATTGTTTGATCCGATACAGGCAGCTCTAATTGTTTCTCAACTGGTGATATCTAGGGATCCTTCTTGACAGATCTGCCGATCATAGAATCCTCTCTAAAAGTGGTGGAACGCGGTCTTCCACCTTTGTTATCTGCTGCCAACTTCTCCGTAGAATAATAATTATTATTGAATATTTGGAACATAGTCTTGATACGATCCATTTTTTCACGCAATATTTATAACAAATACTTTTTTGTGACATACCACTTTCGCAATTACCAATAATTTTCTTTCTTAGTTTCAATCCGAGACTGTTGGGAGCCATTCTTGCACTTAAAGTCATAAAAATAATAAAAATAAATAATCACGCTTCTCAAGGCTTATTGTGTTACATTTACCTTGTGATGATACAATAATGCTCTGTGGAACACAACGTCTTGGTTGGATGTGGACTGTATTGATGTAATGAAACACTTTTTGTATTTCACTTCTTGTATTAATGTTCTTTGATAAAATACTTTGATTAAACTCACTTCGATAAACTGTCTTGATAATACTGGCTGATTGACTTCCATATACTGACTGAATTACATGTCGGTTTACATGTCTCTTATATAGTAAAATAAACCTGTGTGAACCTGTTCTGGAAGATTCTAAATGCTTCTTTTTGATGCATCTGGATGCTTCTGAATGTTTCTGGATGCATCTGGATGCTTCTGGATGCTTCCAGATGCTTCTTCTGGAAACTTCTGGAAGCTTCTGCATGCTTCTGGAAACTTCTGGATACTTCCTTTAATTATTAAAAAACTTCCGTGACGTTGGCACAGACCAGACTTAAGAAAATGAAACAAACGAAAAAAGTTGCACTTGTTTTGTCCCCTGCAAAATGGCACTTGTCAACGAAAGTCTGCCTTGGTGCTGTCACCTGTCAGATGATTGCTCATGTCATGACATGGCATGATGACTCCAGACTCCTGAACTGTTTGCTGTAGTAATATAGTTTGTTTCGTTTTTACGACGTAAAATTAGGAACACTTTTTAGCATTGTTCAATGTTGGTTGCAAATATTTTGCCCAATACTCTATATGTATAATATATATATATATATATATCATTTAAGTATCATTTAAGTCATTTCATGTTTTTTAATGTAATGTACACATAAAAGTTAAACCTAGTTCCAGTCTTCAACTACCAGATTAAAATTATAGTACTCATTTATAACATATTTTTTAAAGAGATGAGATGTTAAATTGAGGTCAAGTATAGTCAAATTTTGGTATGCAAAGTTTTAAATCTTCAAACTTAATATAAATAAATTATATTTCTTATTTTTCAGGAATTTTTAACATACTTTTTTATTTTATTAGATGTACAATTGTTTTTAATGATTTAATACTGACACATGACATAATTTTTGTAAATTAGTAAACTAACTTTATATTCTTTTTAAAATGAGTTTAGAAACAAAGTTTACTAAGTCTTTTGTTAAAACTATATACTGAATATTATACCGAAATTGAAAAAAAGTTTTTATGCAAGTGTAAAGTAATTGATCCTACTAGAAAAGATAAAAAAAATAATGTAATGTTGAACTTAGTACATTAACTACATTCAGTTTAGGGCACCATATAAATTGCATCCATTCTGATGTGCATAAAGTTATAGAACAAAAGGAAACAGAAAGTAAGAATTCTGGTGTTGCAACCTCCTCAAGTAGTAAAATAAAGTATATAATAAATTAAATAATAAAAGATGTTTTTACTTGTAAAAAGGTTGTATTGTTGTTGATAAATTTAAAGGACTCATTATTGAAATGTTTGTAAGGAATTTTTTTCAAGCATCGTATCTTAGATGAACGAGAGCAAAGTAAATACCAAAAAAATACCAAATAAGAGCTAATGTAATTTTTTGAAAGTTATCAGGGTGGTTCGCACAGGATGCTTGCTCTGCACTCAATTGTGGCTGGGAAGAAACGCAAGATGCTCTGAAGTTAATTGCGGATGACATGACCAAGGAACCTCTTGTACACAATGATGCCTAGGGGCTCTTTTGTCAGTTCCATTCCCTTGAAACAGCTTTTATGATTACCCTGTGGAGTCTCCTGCTTCATTGTTTCAAAGCAGCCAGCATTCATCTTCAGGCCATTGAGATTGACCTCAACACCATTGTGGAGCTTTATGAATCACTAATTGAACTTGTCAAAACATTTTTGACGTCATTAAATTCTTTTTATTTGCTTTTCATATTTATCGACATTAACTGCACCAATTTACTTAATTACCGCAAAACTACTTGAAATCATTTATGTAAAATTGTTATTATTTAAAAATGTTTTGGAATGTTTCGTTTTTTAATATGTAAAAGCATTTGTTTATTTTCTTGACGTTTGACACGTTTTGTCTATACTAAACGAATAAAAAACATTATAACTAAACATTTAAAAAAGATTAAAAATGCTAATATTTGATTTTTTTTTCTTCTCAAATATGTAATTTAAAGTTTTTCAAATAATTATTTTTTCTTTTTAAAAAGTCAGCGAGTAATAAACTGGAAATTTTAATATTGTTTGATTAAAAACTGTGCAATAGCTAATATTTTTACCAGCGATTTTATATAATAATTTTTTATTTATTTGTTTTTATTTATTTTCATAAAGCAGTTGATAAGCACAATCACTCGCATTACTAAAAAACTTTAACGAACGTTTTGAATAGATTTTTAATGTTCACAAGGAATTTTATTTCTAGTAAAATAAAATAAAATAAAATGTTAAAATAAAAATCTTTGCGCAAATAAAATATTTTTTATTTGCGCTTACCAATTTTTAAAATGTTTCCTTGAAATTACTCTTTAAATACATCAAACAGTTAATAAATATTTTTAAATCTATGGAATAATTTTAAAACCTAACAAACCCCCTTAAAATAATTATTTAAGTTAAAAATCTAAAACTAAACAAAAGTATTTTTGTTCAATTTTATCGACAACTTTGCTATTGCTAAATAATTTTATTAAAATGTTAGCTTTAAAAGATTTAAACTTTTTTTTTAATCTGAATTTTTTCTACTTGTAAATAATGAGCATATTTAATTTTTTTGTAATTCAAATTTTATATCAACTGGGTGCGGTTTTTAAAATACTTTATTAAATGTTAATATAATCAAAAATTACTTCATTAAAATTCTGCTCAAAAATATCTTTAAATATACTCAAACAAAAAATTTTTTGCTCGACGTAAATAGCCCTAGCTACACACAAAATCGCTCTTGGATGACGTAAAATTCAGTTCGCCAGACGCTTTATCGCAAGGCCTGTATATATATATATATATATATATATATATATATATATATATATATATATATATATATATATATATATATATATATATATATATATATATATATGTATATGAATATATATATATATGAATATATATATATATGTATATATATATATATATATATATATATATATATATATATATATATATTATGTATATATATATATATATATACATATATACATATATATATATATATATATATATATATATATATATATATATACATATATATATATATATATATATATATATATATATATATATATATATATATGCATATATATTTCTAATATAATTACTTTTATAGTGCATCTACTTTTTTATTGCTAAAAATGAAAAAACAAATAATAATTGTAGTTATACGGAGCTGAAAGTATAGGGTAGAACTAGAGCCAGAAAAATAGGAATGCTAGAGAATGAATGCAGGAGAATGAATGTTGGAGCTCTGTTTGTAACTATAAACTTGAGCTGCGTGTTTTGCAAAACTTCAGTGCAAAAAAATTAATACCAGATTAAATTTTTTTTTTTTCCTTTTTTTATTTCAATTCATTTTACTTTATTTATTACAACTTAATTTTACTGTTTTGGATTTCTCTATCACAGCTATCAAGTTTGAAATAAATGTTTTATATAGTAAATATATTTAAAGTAAAAACTTTAATCAATAATATCTTTGTTTTTTTTCACTTTTACATTTATAAAAAAAAAATTATCAAAACAGTATTTTTCAATTTTTTGATTCTTTTTCTTGTACATTTTTCAAATGTTTTTTGATTTTCTTTTTTAAAATTTAAGCATTTAGTCAATTTAAAAATTTAGGAAAAACAAGAACTGATTTAGCTCTTAAAGTAGCTCGAAAACATGTATTTTGTAATGAATGCAGTTTGCAGCATAACATTCCCAAGTTGCTTATAGTTTTAACAGATGGTCAAAGTACTTTTCCAAAATTAACACAATTTGAAGCTCACCTAATAAAGGTATATTTTTTTTCTTTAGCAATTTTTTTTCCCTTATAGTGTATAAAAATTAGTACAATTGTAATGTAAGTGGTTTATTTTAGGCAATATGACATTTGGCAACATCTAATGTAATAAAACAGGTGTTCTTGAGTAACATCCTATATTTTATATTACACACATTCTTCAGTAATTTTATACATATAGTTTATAACTTTTTACAACAGAATTTTAGAATGGTTTTATTTTGCTTACATATTTTTATATACACCATTATAGATTTATACTAACACCACCATACGTTTATACTTACATCATCATACATTTATACTTACATCATCATATATTCAGACATACACCATCATACATTTATACTGTTATTATTTTTTCATGTTATTCACCTTGTGAATGCTGAAAAAACCATTACAGTTGAGGAGGTTACTTAATTGTGGTTACTTTTAACTGATTAACTTTGAAACACTTGACTGATTAACTTTGAAACACAAACCTTGATAAACACAGCCATTGCATGGAGCAACAAGTTGAGCGCAGTACTACTAGGGACATGGTTGGGATCAAACAAAGAAAATCTTGCTTATAAAGCGAGATCTCTATCACTACTGTATCTTATACTTACACTATCATACATTGATACTTGCATCATGTTTTTATTTAAATTGTACATAATTTGTCTATGTATTTATAAAAAGTTTCTTCCTTAAGTTTTTACACTATATCTTTTTAAAGGTTGAGAACAATTTAACCATAATATCTGTTGGAGTTAGTGATCAAGTTGACATAGAAGAGCTGAAAAGTCTAGCTACAGATAGAGACCATGTCTTCTTATTAAATAGTTACAGCTACTTGAATGATAAAATTAATAAAATACTAAAAGTATCATGTATTGATAGTAAGTTGATATTTATTTAGAAAAAGTATTTTGCTAAGAGTTTCTTTAACACAAGTATCTCTAAAAATATTTTTGTTATTAGTTTCTCTCTTGGGAGATACCTCTGTTATGAATACATTTATTGAAATTGTATTTTATTTGTTTTTAAAATATATTTGTAAAATTTATTTTTAAATGAATTTTACAATTTCTATTAATAAAAAAATGGATTATTATTATTAGTACAGGTTGATTAAAATATTTTAAAAGCAAAAATGAAAAAATGTGTTTTTAATAAAATTAGTTTTTTATTCAATATTTTCTCCCTCAACTTGAACACAAATATTCCAATGATCCTCCAATAATTTTATACTATATCTGTAATGGTTTTTTGGAAGTTCTACCAAATACTGTTCCACAACAGTAATAGCTTCTTCATTCAACAAAAATGCTTTTCACAAATAGAATAATTTCAAGTTTCTGAAGAGGTAATAGTTTGTAGACAGCCAAATATGGTGAATATGACAAGGGTTCAAGCAATTTGTACTTTAGTTTGCTCAATTTAACCCTCATCAACTTTAATTCTTCTGTTAAAAGGTCATTCAACATCCTTATCACCAAGTTTTATTAGCATAGGACCCCCTTTTTGAAATACTTTCAAATCTTTTTAACCAACCTTTTATTTGGAACTTGCTGTATCTGCATATGAAAAAAAATAATTACAGCAAAAATCAATGTGCATATTCTGATAAATACAATGGTAGAAAGTTCTTTAAAAAAAGTTTAATGCTATAACTAGTGTTGAGTTGTTTGTTTTTTTAGTTAAACTACCCAATACTCAGGGGACCTTAATATAAAAGGTGCTACTAATTTTTCTTATTTCACCTCACTCTTAATTCTATAGCTACCTAAAAAAACACTCCTGACTGCAAGCAACCACTATTAAGATGGGAGTTACTAGAAAAAAAGAATAGAGTTATAGAGCAAGGAAACAATTGACAGAAGACTTAAATAGTTAAAAGTTGTATGAGTTAGGAAAAAATGAAGATGGGAGAGAGTTCCAAAGGTTTGAGGTGCAAGGAAAAAAACTAGACATAAAATTTTTAAGAGTATGCAGGGACAAATACAATAAAAGAATTTGACTTTGCTGAATGATGAGTCAAGCGAGAATGAGTTTTAGTTGATGGAACTAGTGATTAAAGCTCCTTTGAGCAGCAACCATGATAGTATTTTTAGAAAAGAGAAAGAGATGCAACTTTGAGAAAGTGATAGCGAGCGGGTCCTACTACATTTACAATGCGTTTTTGGATCTTGTCTAGAAAAGAAAGTGCATCATTAGAAGAACCAGCCAAAATATGACAACAGTGTTCCATACAGGGACGAATAAAAGATTTGTAGATGTAGAGAATGGTATCAGGAGAGAGAAAATGGAAACACAATGAAGAGAAGCAACCTTAGCAGATGCTAATTTAACAATTGATTGTATATATGGTTTCCATGAAAGGTTAGTAGTAAACTATTATCCAAGAAGATGTAAAGAAGTGAACTCAGTGAGAGGGTTGCCATTCATTAATATAGGAATGTTCACAGTACTGTGATAGTTGTTTGCAGTAAATAACTGAGTTAAAATTTACAAGCCACTGTGAGCTTTAATATGTGAGATACCCAAAAGTGAGATAAGATTCAAAATCGGTTGCCTGTTCTAAGCGATTGTAAAGAGAAGACTGTTAGACCTGTTAAGACTTATAGTCCTGTTAAGACAGGACTATAAAGTTGAGTCATCAGCAAAAAGAGCTACTTAAGATGTAAGGTTGTCAGGAAGATCATTAATGTAGATAAGAAACAAAACAGGAACAAGGAGAGAACCTTGAGGTACCCCATGAAGTTAATGAAAATAAAGAAGAGTGTTGGCTTTCAAGGATGATTTTAATAAAGTAGTTAGAAAGAAACGATTTGATAACCTCAAAACGTTTCCTAGATACACCATATGAAAAAAACTTATGAAGAAAAGCAGTATGCTAAATTTTGTCAAAAGCCTTAGACATGCCAAGAGCAATAGCCCTAGCCTCTCCTCTTCCAACTAATGCACAATAAAACCTTTCAGTTACAAATTAGCAGTTAGCAAGTCAGCCATATAGTGAGAGGATCAAAAACTGTATTGGTTGTCTGACAGAAAATTATTTGACTCAAAATGGGATTTAAGAAATTTGTTTAGCAAATATTTAAAGACCTTGCTAATAACAGAAAGATGACTGGTTGGACAATAATTTGAGGGGTCAGAATGTTCAGTGGAATTTTTGAAACTTGGTGCAACAGATACCATTTTCCAGCAGGCAGGAAAACAAGGTTTAGTCAAGCACTTTTTAAATAGTTTAGGGAGAATTGAAAAGAGTTCTGGAGAACACTTTTGTGTAACTATGACAGGAATTTGTCTCAATCACAAGCTGTAAAAGCGTTTAATCAAGATATGACTTTAACAATGGAAGCTAGGGTGATTTGAATGTCAAACAATCAGTTAACCTGTTTAATTAGAATGGAAGGAAGAAAATGGCCATACGATTCAAGAGTCAAATTAGAAGAAAAGCTCTTGGCAAATAGTTCAGCCTTATCGGTGGGAGAAGTAATAAGCTCAGTCCCATAAATAAGAGATGGAATGTTAGACCTACTTTTGTTAACAACACTGTTGAAGGTTTTCCAAAAGTTTCTAGAGCCTAACTTCTGAGATTAGATATGAAATTTAGTGAACTGAGATTCATGAAGTTTAGCATCTGAAGTTTAGCAGAATAATGAAGTTTATTATGTCAAGTTTAGCATCACCTTTTTGTGTTGATTTCTTGTAATCAGCAAATTTAATTTTTACATCGATTTCTTGCAATAATAAATAGCCATTAGATTATATAGATTATTAATAGATTGTTAGCAGCATCAATAATCTCCAACAAAACGTTTTTGAAATTAGGAATTTATTTGTTATTATCATAGTTCTAACTTTCAAACTTAAAAAACTTTTTAAATTTAAGATTATTATTTTAACTTATTGAGTTTAAACTTTGTAAAAATATTTTACAAAACATTATCATTAATATATATTATCATTGTTTTTAATTTTTGTAATTTGTTTTTTAGTAATTTTTTATTTTTATTTTCAAAAGCCAAACTGAAAGTTGTATATCAGATTTCTGGTTGACAGATGATCAGCTTGGTGCCTAAAAACCTACCAAAAACACAACTTTATGGGTTATTGGTCTCAAATTTTTTTACTTATAATTTTTCATTTATAAATTAATTTTCATTAACACCAAGATTTGATGCTCCTCAACAATTATTCTAATGATAATAAAATAAATAATTTAGTGAGTCATAAATAAGAATTTTGTTTTACTTGAAGCAGTAATATTTTAACTTAAAAAAACTAAAGTCATCTAACAACTCATCAGCAATTGTGGTTTTTCTCTTTATATTTTTAGGTTTTTAAATATATATATATATATATATTATATATATATATATATATATATATATATATATATATATATATATATATATATATATATAACATTGCTAATAGTTATTAATATTGATATTATCAAATATGAGAATAATTGTGATAGATTTAAAGGGTGCAACTTTATTGGGAAAATTACCAGTACTCTAATATTTTGGAGAAAAAAAGTTTGAATATTAAAAAATATGTAAAAATGCACTTTTTTCACTTTTAGTTAAAAAACTATAGTTATGCAATAAAATCTAAAATAATAATTTTTATATAAAAAAATGATTATTTTTGAAATTTTTATAAAATTTCGCTTTATTTGAGTACCAACATCACATCATTTTTTTTGAATAATAATAGGGCCTGCTAATTTTTGTAATTATAGTTGCTGGTGGAAGACATTGTTCAATCCATAAAAGTAAATACTTTCCTAAATTAGTACATAAAAAAACAACTTTCTAGACCATAGCCAGGTTAGCAACTCTAAAAAAAAATTTTATGACCCACCCTAATATATATATATATATATATATATATATATATATATATATATATATATATATATATATATATATATATATATATATATATATATATATATATATTAATTAATTTGACGCGGTCCGCACACTTATGTTTATGATTAGGGAAAAAATAAAAATGGTAGCTTCTCAGTTTAATAAAGTATCAACAAGTGTTCTACATCTTAGTATTTATACTTTTTCTGGCTAGATTTTTAAAACACCTCAATTGTATCGTGCTTCTGCTTTATGCTTTATAATAATTTTAAATCAAAAGATTTGAATGGTCTACTCTAATACTATCATTTAGCAAGATCAGAAAGTATACAAAAAACTTATATGAGCTTGTTTTAAACAAGTTTATAAAAAGAGAGATAAAATACAAACAATTTGCCAGAATTGTTATTCCAGTTGAACAATAAGAAAAAAGATGCAAAAAAAACTGACTAGTTAAAATAAAACATGAATTAATCTTAAAAACAAGGTGATATGCTGAAACCAAAAATATAATTTAGCAAAAAGAGAATTATAGTTATAAAAATTATAAAAGGAACCCTTCATATATACAAATTCTAAAATAAAATATTCAAAATGTTAAAATTGTTCTCCAAAAAATTACAATGGGAACAAACTTAAAATTTTTTATAAATTTTTTTATTGGTTTTAACATAACAAAACCAGACTGCCAAATTTGACTTTTAACATAACAAAATTAGATTGCAAAACTTGATTTTAAGATAATTTTAGTTTTTCATTTTCTTTCAATCATGCAGTAAAATTACTGTTTCTCCAACAATTACTATTAAGGTATTATCTTGTTTGATTTAAAAATGTTTGATGTATTGGTTTCTTGCAGGTTTGATTAAAAAGTGTAAAATTTTGCATCTGTACACTCAATCTGTAGCTGGCATTGAACATAACATTGAGGAAAATTTTTATACTTGTTGTTTATTGCACAAAACAATCAGCACAATCTTGAGTTTTCTAGTCTAACAAACTTCTTGATGGACCTAATATATCAGGGCTACAACCATATTTATTGTTGATTAGGCTAATAAAGTATAGGCATTTTTCAACTTTTGCTTTAGAAAGAAGTTTTCAAATAATTTACAATTTTGAATATTTTCTAACTGGCCTAGGTCTGGTGTAGATGTCCTACTTTAAAAAACATTCCAATATAATATAAAACTTTAAGAGTTACCCAAAAAAAACAAGTAAATTAGATAGTCAACCAGCTGTAATTTTATGCCACTTTTTTGTGTTTTGTTCTATGCTTATGTAATTAATACCACATCGTTCTGGAGCCATGCGATTACTAATTTCAATATTTACAATACCATTATTAAAAAGCTCTCTATTAATAAGAAATATGCTATGCCTTTTAAACCATCATAAGTGTTTTGTACATCAGTATTTTTAGTGTTATTTGGGATAATATTAGTGATACTTTTGGTATTATTATTTTTATTATTTTGTTAATTCACCTCCTTAAGGTCGAGAAGGCCACTACAGACGAGGCGGCTACTTATTTGTGGTTTTATAACCCTCTCTAAACTCTATAACTCTGAAACACGAACCTTGATGAACAAGGTCGCTGCGCGGAGAAACGAGTTGAGTTCTTAAAAGTGTTATTTTTTCCTCAAGTATTATTATCATTTGAATCTTCTGTGAGTTATTTTCAAAAATAGTTTAATTCTGGATCTGCTGATATAGAAATTGTCATCTATTTTTTTTATTTTTTTAGGACTTAGTTAATTTTAAAAAATGGTTACACTTTGTTCTGTGCAAGATTAAGCCTAAATCTTTTTATTAGTTTTTATTTTAGTTAGTATTTTATCAATATATATATTTTTAAAAAACACAAAACTGAAAGTAAGCAACCCAGTACACAACCTACTAGAATTAACAGGACAACTGCAATGTTCTATTTCAGGATTAAATCAATCAAAAAGTAAAACAACTGATCTCAAATAGTCACTATATAATTTTATACTCATAGATCTAATGCATGTAAGAATTAACGAGGTAACTATTTTATTCTGCAACTTTTTAGCATTCTTTAAGCTTTTTCAAGAAGTCTGCAGTTCCTAACGTTTTATGGTCACGATATCTGTAAATGATATCTTCACTAATTTTCTTATCTAAAACATCTTTCTTGATGACCATTCAGCTATAATTTTAGGTATTTTAAGTGAGATTGCATTGAAAATACATGTTTGTTATTCAATAACAATATTCAATCACCTATTAGGCTTCATTTTATTTTTTAGCTTTAAATAATGTAAATACATTTGCATTTTGTTTTGCAATTCCTCAAAAGTAATACATAAGACTTGTTTTAAAAAAAAAAAATTTTTTTTTAAAACAAGTTACTATCTTTACTTTTTTACCTACATTGAATTAATTTTGACATTAGATCTTTAAAATTAATTCGGCTCATATATATATATATATATATATATATATATATATATATATATATATATATATATATATATATATATATATATATATATATATATATATATATATATATATATATATATATTTATATATACATATATATATATCTTTTTTTTCTTTCAACATTTCCGAATGGGTCTTAACTTTTTCTATTTTTTGCTCTTTTAGCAATAGTTACATATTCTATATGGTTGATCACTTGATACGGTCATTTCAATCCACTTATTAGCCTTGTTTCTTCCCCCTAAATGATACTTTAACATGTTAAAAAGCGTATGATCTTATATTTTAAATTAACTAATATTTTGAAATGATAACTTTATTTCAAAAAAGCTTTATAGCTTCAAAATGCAATCTAATTATTATTTAAGCTATTGTATAAGAAAAACCTGTAAAAAATGAAAAATATCTTTTAAGTAACTTTAAATTAATCAAACTTTGTTACCATAGATTAGTAACAAATCTTAGCAAAAACCTAAAAACCCAGCTCAGAAACTCAGGCATTTGTCAACCCTGGACACTGTTGGTTTTGTATAATTATTTATTTTGAGTAAAAAATGCTAGGAATTATAAGTATTTTCCAAATCTAAAATTTCTAAAAAAATAAACTTGAAGTTGAATGACTTTACAAGTAAATGATTTTATAATAAATGCGTTCTTCTTCTCTTACATTTTTGTAAAACTGCTATATTATGTCTAGAAACATAAATATGACATATAATAATTACTTTAATATTAAAAATATATATATAATATGTAAAAATATATAAGCTAGTATAATTAAATAATAGTCTCATAGATAATATAATAAAGTTTTTTTATTATTTTATTTTATTTAAAGATCAAACAACTCCTATTAATGGAGGCTGGGATAGCTGGAGTGAGTGGACAGAGTGTAGTGCCAGCTGCAATGGGGGTATTAGAATTCGTGAACGTCTTTGCAATAATCCACTACCCCAAAATGGAGGTATCGAATGTATAGGTGAAGGTGAAGAAGAAAGAGCTTGCAATGAAGAGATCTGTGCGCCTGGTGAGTTTTTGTATTACTCTATTTACTGTTCAAGATGTGTTCACAATTATTGTTTATGATTAGATAAAATATTTAATATTTAGTTTGTACTTCTGAATTGGAGATAGCAATTTTATTGGACGCTTCAAGTAGTGTAACTTCAAATAATTGGAAGAAAACAATACAATTTGTTCAAGATTTTTCAAAAGAGTTTAAATTTGGCCCCACAGGTGCTCAATTTGCAGTTATTGATTTTTCTGATAAAGCCACGCTTCAAGTTAATATTTCAGATTCCAGATTCTGGAGTAATGAAGGTTTTACTAAAAAAATCAGCAACATCAAATATAAAATGGGTAATTATTTCATTTTGATAAACATAAAAACATCAAATAAAAACATCTTAATATCTTACATAAAAAATAATTTTTTGAGTTTAAGCAAAATAAAATAAACAGATATAATGTTCAAAAAGAATGATTTACTTTTTCCAAGGATAAAACTTGAGCTACCCTAAAAATTATTTGAAATGAAGAAGAGTGTTGGCCTTGAAGGGTGACTTTAATAAAGGGCTTAAAAAGAAATGACTTAATAATCTCAAAAACTTTTCCAGATACACCAAATGAAGCAAAATATGGAAAAGACCAGGGTACAAAACTTTATCGAAAGCTATTCATTAAAAAATCCACTGAAAATAGTAATCTTATTTTAGTAAATGGATAGAATATAATAAAAATTTAAAAATTATTAAATTGTTGTGGATGTGATCTCATCTTGGGTTCATAGTCCGACTTACCTAAAAAATAAAATAAAAGATATTTTTACTAACATAGTAAAAATTATATAAACTCACACCTGGAATTCTTATCTTCTTTGTTCTTAAGCAGCAGCATGCAAATGCGTGTGAAGCTGACAATTCCACCGACAATTCACAATATCCCTAACAATCTGATACTTTGCAACATCATTATTTAGATTTCGAGCATTTGCCCTGTCCATAGTTTTATAAATGAATCCCATTAGTGGATACTTCTCGGAATCAACCATTCAAAGAACTGTAAACAAAGGGCTTTGTTGTGTTGAGTACATAAGTAAAACCAAGCCAAAAAGACTTGCTTTTTAGAATTATGTTCCACACATTTTTCCCAAATGCATAAGCACTGGTTTTCCACTTTATTAAAGTAAGAAAGGATTCAAGACCATTGCTTGCTCAAATCAAGCAAGAAATGCAGTGGCAAATTGAGTAACAGGTTTCACCAAATCTCCAACTGTAAATTTTCTTGCCATTAGTAAAACCCATGCATAGCCGTAGATAAAATTTATTATTTTCTTAGCCTTGGTGAATACAGAAACATGAGGATATCCTCCTACATTAAGTCAATGCAGTGTGCTTTAAAAGGTGTCCAATACAAAATTTTCATATGATACATCAATATTCCCCCAGCGATTTTATAAGCCGAGGCATTGTCTATTATCAATTGAAAACAGACAATGATCTTTTCTACAACTTCCTAAACAACTTCATCAAGCAATCTAAAAAGCAACTTTTACCTGATCTGATGCATCAATCGACTTCAAAAAATATATATCTTCAGGTAGTTAACTAAAAAATTTATCAATGTATGTCCCTTTGTGTCAGTCTAACCATCAGACACAAAACTACAACCGGTCTCAATCCATGAAGTTTTTGCTTCATCAACGATTGCAGCAATAGCATTTTTCTCTTCTTTTAGAATCGATGTTTGCAACTCATGCATAGTTGGGGGTTCAAGTCCCTTTCCGAATTCACATACATCATTCATCATGACCCAATATAAAGGGCTTGTTGCTACATTGAACGGTATTGAATTTTCATAGAAGAAACATCCAATAGACCTAAAAATCTGTCTTCTTACTTTTTTTCTTCTAACTCTTATTCAAGACAACTTGATGCATTTGATAACCCGTGAAACATTCAGCATTCCTGCTACCAATATTTACTTGTGTAAAGAAATCCATGGGTCCATGAACTTGTTTGTTAAACTTGATAGCACTTGAGCCTATTGGTGCTTTTTGTAGTTGTGGATCGCCTTCAGTAACAAATGCCTCTTGCATTTCCACTGGGCAAACTTCCTTCGTTGCTTCGAATGCTCTTTTTTTACCCTCAATCATTTTCAACATAAAAAACTTCATTTGTTCTTAAACTTTAATTTGAACTCATGGCAACAATCTTATGTGTTTTTTCAAGATCCTCCTTAAGTTTTTAAATTCCATTCTAAATAAAATCTGGGTTCGTCACTGAAAAGACAAAATTATTTTACGTCGCTATTCTGCAACATTACCTAAAAACTATTAAGTGTGAAAAACCTTATCGGAAGCGGTTATCCAATTATTATTATAATTCATAAAAAAGGATCGAATATCATGCCCAATTTTTCTGGATTGGATATCCAGACATTCGGATACCGGAACGGTAATTAGGATATCCGTTATTCAGTATTTTTTCATGCCTACTTGTAACGTTAAAATTCCAAGAATATATACATAGCGAGCATCATTTATTGTGCCATGATAAATTCTTTAAACAATGATTTCTTTGGAACTTCACACTAGCTGTCAAACAAAAAGCTATAAAAGTTTTTATTGTTATAAAAAATATTTTATATTTTCTTACTGTAGAACATTTAATATTACATTATTATTATTATTATTATTATTATTATTATTATTATTATTATTATTATTACTATTATTACTATTATTGTTATTATTATTATTATTGTTGTTATTATTATTATTTTTTCATTTTGCTTATATTGAGAGAAGTTAATATAATTCATTATAATTAATTTGTAAAGTAGATATCATTACATTAAATAAAAGTAGAGGTAATAAAAGGGAGAAGTAATCAGTTCCATGATTTAGAGATGAAATGTTAGACTTACCATATATTTGTTAGTAAATCTATTAGTATATTATATGTTTAGTATTTAAATGTAATCATTTTTATTATTGTAACAATTATTGTAAATACATTTAGTTTTAAAAAGTTAAAATTTCATTCAAATTCAAAAAAATCCAAATTTATTTTGGTTTTACCTGGATACACAGACACTTAATATAAAACCTAGATTGCTCAAGTGAAACCCAGACAGTTGGAAACACTGGGGTTCCTGGTGTGAATGAAGGGTAAATTATAGTATGATTACAGCTGCGAGTAATGGTGTCAATAAAAATGTGGTGATATCAATGAACTTGCGAATGAATATGTAAATAATGGTTGTGAATGGAAAAAAAGAAAAATGATCATCATTTTTCTAATTAAGCTTATTAAAACAATGTGATAAATTTCAAAATTTTTAGGTAAAACAAGAACCGATTTGGCACTTCGATTAACTCGTAGAAAAGTGTTTTGTAGGAAATGTGGATTGAGAGTCGATGTTTCCAAGCTAGTTATTGTGGTAACAGATGGTCGAAGTACATTTCCATTTTTAACTCTGTCTGAAGCTCGTCTCATAAAGGTATTTTTTTTGAATTTTGTGAAAGATTAAAAATGTGAATGTAAATTTTTCAAATTAAATTTTATTTTTTGTTTGCTTAATTTCTTATAACTTTTTCTTCAAAGAAACAATCGAGCATAATATGCATTGGAGTTGGAGACGAAGTTGATATAAATGAGCTGAACACTATTGCTACTGACGAAAATCATGTTTTTTTATTAAATGGTTATCGATATATTAATGATAATATTAACCAAATACTGAAAATGTCTTGCAAACTTTAGTTCACATTTAATGTAAAATACTTTGAAAATAAAATATGAATTATTTATATAAATATATTTTTAAAAAGTAATAAATATAAATAAATTGAGAACACATTATATAATTAAAGTGAGGAATTACTATATATGTCGCTAGACTATATATGGGGGATAGCACAATTGGTTGGAGTGTCAAATTAAATGTTAAAACTTGTGTTTTTTGTGCAATTCCAGTTCAAATTCAGTTATTCTGCGTTTTAGTAGTACTGCGGTATGCAAAAATGTTGATCAAAGAAAGATGCTTTGGATTAGTCTTTATTACAATTTGCGTCTGTTCCTATGCCAACAATATCTTCAGATATTTTTTAGCATGGGAATAGACACAAATAGTTTGTTTCTATGCAATAGCCTTCTATGAACGCAAGCATTATTTATTACAAAATCAACCCTCTTTTCCCAAACTGCATAAATTTTTCACAACATTAAAAACAAAGCTTTTAGTTAATTCAAAATATCGAAGTTTCATAACAATATTTGTTTTTTAAATTCGTTTTTAAAAAATCGATGCTTTGTTAAAAAAAAAGAAATCAACTTTAAGAGAGATTTAAAACGTAAGATAGTCGAACCGCTTACATACTTGCCGCTTAACCCCTTTCCCCTCCCTTTACCCCATCCCCTCCTCCCTCCCTCTTTCTTCGTAGGCATTCGCAAATTTTTGGGTAATCCCCCTTCTCTATATATGCGTACGTACTTTATGGAAGGCCCTTATTAAAAGCGCATTTCTTAAAAATAAGCTTCATCTCAGTCACCTCATTTATGTTTCAAATTAAAGAAAAAATGATTAAATAAGTAATATATAATAATAAGTAAAACAAATAAATTTTTAAATAAGATAAGTTCATTAAAAAATCCCTAAATAATCGATATTTGTATTATTTACAAATTTGAGAACTTATATTCGCATATAATCAGTTAACTGCATACAAATGATTTATGAGTAAAAACATTTCTTTTTGTTTCATACTGGTTTTACCTTAAATATATATTTCTATAAGAATATTGGCGATTACGTTGCTGAACCTAAAACAAAAAGAAAGAAGTTGTTTTACAAATGAGCTATTAACAAGAAAACATTCAGCTATTAAAGATTAAAAACAAGAAAACATTCAGCTATTAAAGATTGTGAATAAAGATTAAGAACAAAAAAAAATTGAGGTCGCCAGATCTAAATTGTCGGATATAAGCATTTGAAGAATACTTTTGTAATTTTTAAACCAAATCAATATTAATTGATAAATTTGAAGTTTCATAAAGAATTTGTATGTTATGGTCGTAAAAAATTGAAAACCTTCTCTTCTTATAGGGAAGAGGAGGCTTAAAACTTTCATGGTTATGACTTTGGAACCGTAATAAATTAGTTATCTTTACTTTCATTTACTTTATCGGTTGAACACGATTAAATTCAGCACCTTTTAATCGTTAAATACTCAAAAGCTACTTGACAATTTTTTTTTTTTTTTTTGTACACAGAATCTAATGTGTTGCTTGTATTAAATCAAAAAAATATTTAAAAAGTTTTCTTCAAAATCTTTCATTTTCACAAATTGATATTTTAAAATTGACTGGTGTTTCTCGATTATCGATTATCTCGATTGGATTTATTTTGCGGCAATATAAACAGACTCGCTCTTTTGAAAGAGAAGTTAGAAGTGGAAAAAAGAAAGGGTTTAAAGATAAATATAAAGCAAAATAAATCCTTTGCTCCATAAAGGCAAATCCATGTCAGTCGCAGAGAGATCTTGCAAGAAAATTTAAATGCCCACAATATTTTGACCTAATTTGGCTACAATTCACTACAAGTGTCTAGTATGGTACGATCAAAATGGCGTCGAATTTGTAGCTAAGAAAGCAAATCCTCCAAATTGTCCTGAGCAGCGGGGTATAAAGTTATTGGTCAATTATAAAAGGAATCTTATTGAAAAGCAAGAAATTAACTACAAATAAAAAAAATTTTAAGAACAAATGGACAGCCGCCTCATAAAAAAGTAACTCAAAGCAAGATCCAGCAGTTGATGTCAAGTACTCGCAAAGATTGTTTACAATAGTTATAATCAACAAAAACTAATTAAAATCAACACACTAAACTGTGTAAGATAATACAAACAAACATACATATCGTGAATAAAAAATTAACAAAATAAAATAAAACAAAAATAGCTTACATAGTTAATAATTTAAATGTCAATAAATACAACAAGTTGGTTATTTTCGACGTAAAAAAAAAAAAAAAAAAAAAAAAAAAAAAAAAAAAAAAAAAGTTATTTTTGACAGATTTTACAAAAACAAGATTTTCCGTTCTAATTTAAAATACTTTTTTTTAACATCTTTACAAAATTTATTGACATACTTTCATTGTCTATGGAGTTCCATAGCGAGGTAGCTCTATATAAGTTACTTTTTATAAACTTATGTTTTAGAGGCTATTAGTGGGAGTATTAATTTTTTACTACATCAAAGACTTAACGGCAGGGATTTTTTGATAAAAAGACCTAACATAAAATCTGGGTTTAAACTATTTGTAGATTTAAAAACTTCAGTTAACAAAAACCTTAAATTTTTAAGGTAAATACTTGGGATATTTTCTATTTTTTGAATTTCTTCTAATGGGAGATCAAATCTTTTATAGACAATGCAAAGTTCTTTTTGATGAATTTTATTAGTTAGGTTATTATTATACTTCGAACAAAACATCCAAATCAAAGGACAATAGTACAAATTTGACAGTATAAAAGCATTGAATAAAACAGTAACTTGTTTTACTGATAAGAAGCTCCTTATTCGTGCAAGAGCGAATCATTTACCATTCGCTTTTCCACACAGACATTTAATATGATCATCAAATTTCAAATCCTTATCAATTGTAACCCCGAGAAGTTTAACCTTAGAGGAAACCTTGATTTTTACATTTCCAACCATTAAAAATGATCTTTACAATTTTCTAAGCTAGCTAAAAAAAATTAAAATTTGTCCGGATTTGCAACCATTTAATTCAAAGTAAACCATGAAATCGCGTTTAATGTTTCTATTTGAAGACGAGCAATAACACTCTCTAGGTTTTTGTCACAAACAGAAAGAGTGTTGTCATCAGCATAGTTGCAGATTTTAGAGTCTTTTATAAATAAGAAAAAATCGTTGATTATTAATTAAAGTTTATTTAATTAAATTAATTAAAAAAAAAAAAATTAAAATCGTTGATTATTAAAATATTAAAGAAAATTGGTCCCAAAATTGAGCCTTGAAGTAGATTCCATATCTAAATTCCAGATTCCATATCTAAATATTCAGAAGATGACGATTCTAGTCTTACCCTTTGTTTGCGAGCAGAAAGGTAAGATAATAAAAGTTTGAGACTATCGTAAGAAAACCCATAACCTTCCAACTTAGCTATAAGCAAATCATGTGAAATTGAATTGTATGCCTTTCATAAATCCATAAACATAGCGCCAACTATGCCACCTTTATCCAAGCATTCTTGCCACTTATTAACAAAATTAAAAAGTGCGTGGTTTGCACTATCCCTCTCCGAAATCCACACAGCAATTTGTTAAAGCTTGGTTCTATAAAAACCCGTATTTGCTCGTAAATAACGATTTCAAACACTTTTGAAAGAACTGGGAGAATACTTATTGGGCGGAAGTTACACTTATCAGTGGAGTCATTTTTTTTTAAACATGGTATGACATCGGGCATTTTTAAGAAGGACGGGAAATCACTTTGGGATATGCACTTATTTATACAAGAAGTGAAGCTTTTTCTCAAATCCGTGACATAAGTTTTTAACATAAACGTTGGAATATCTCCACTAGTCTTCTTTTTACTATTTAAAGAACAAATAATTTTTGTTATATCACCAGGAGTAATTTGATGAAATTTAAAATTTTGAGGATATAATTTGGATTTTTTTTTAATGTTTATAATACTGGGATGGTTTGTCTCATCTATCATCTCACTATTTATAGGAGACGACGCAACGTTAGTGAAATTCAAGTTGAAAATGTTTGAAATTTGAAAGTTATCCGAAATAGTTTCCGTGTTTAACCAAGTTTTGATGAGAGTAAACGTTAAAAAAAGTTAATTATTTTAAAATTAAATTTTCTACTTTATATTAACTAATTATTTTAAAATTTAATCATTTAAAAATGTTAATTTTTTTTATTATATTACTTTCTTTAAAATTATAAATATGACTAACATTTGATAAGTTATTTTTTATTTTAGGAAAAAGTTTAGAAATAGTTTGTATGGAAGTTATTTTGATTTTTCGAAAAAGTAGAATGAAGAAGTGTTGCATTTGATATTAAATAAAAACAAAAACTATAATTTCATGCATAAATTATAATAAATTATATTTTATTAAAATTGTTTGCTTTTTATAAGTATTTATAACTGTATTTAAGTTTTAGATTGTGTGTGTGTATATATATATATATATATATATATATATATATATATATATATATATATATATATATATATATATATATATATATATATATATATATATATATGTATATATATGTATATATATATATATATATATATATATATATATATATATATATATATATATATATATATATATATATATATATATATATATATATATATAATATATATAATATATTATATTGTATGATATTTTGTATTTGCAATAAAATACAAAAAACTCTTGTACGTATAAGAGTGCTCAATAATAAATAAATAGGATTTATTTATATTATTTAATAGAGCATTATATTAATTTATAAAAATAAAGAAAACAACTTTTTATGGTACTAATAGTTTCATGCCTAAAGGCAATCATCAGCCATGTAATACAAAACAAGAAACAAAAAAAACCGTTAAAATATAAAGTTACAGTGGAGTGTGCTCCGTCGTCAAAACAAAACAAAAACAAAAAGATAAGAAAAAACTAAAAACGGCTGCCTAATCACCCGTATCGAAATTCGAAAGGAGGAATTTGCTTTTATGTCTACATTTAGATACTAATTCATTCCTCTTATTTAATAAGTTATCATAGGTGTACGATATTATGAAATACTTTTCGTATAGACATAAGTTGCATCGTTTTATTGTAGGATTGTAAGATCTACAACGTTTTAAAAATTGTTTTAAAAATTAAAAATAAAGAAAATGGAGTAAACCCAACAATTAAATGGAAAATTTTAAAACGTTGTAGATCTTACAATCCTACAATAAAACGATGCAACTTATGTCTATACGAAAAGTATTTTATAATATCGTACACCTATGATAACTTATTAAATAAGAGGAATGAATTAGTATCTAAATGTAGACATAAAAGCAAATTCCTCCTTTCGAATTTCGATACGGGTGATTAGGCAGCCGTTTTTAGTTTTTTCTTATCTTTTTGTTTTTGTTTTGTTTTGACGACGGAGCACACTCCACTGTAACTTTATATTTTAACGGTTTTTTTTTGTTTCTTGTTTTGTATTACATGGCTGATGATTGCCTTTAGGCATGAAACTATTAGTACCATAAAAAGTTGTTTTCTTTATTTTTATAAATATATATATATATATATATATATATATATATATATATATATATATATATATATATATATATATATATATATATATATATATATATATATATATATATACACATTTATATATATTTTTATAAATATTTATATTAAATTATTATACTTATAGATTATTGAAGTACTCAGAATATTTATCATATGAACTTAACTAACAGGTAGAACGTTGACACTTGCATTCTTTTAATAAACTTGGCAGGAAACATTTTTCCAAATTTCATATTCTCAAGTCAAGAACTTGTTAAAATAAAAATTATTTTTTGCAATTTTTTTTTATAAAAGCATTCACTACTTTTATTCTCAAAAGATTTAAATCGCCTACCATACGTATTTATTCAGCGAAAAATCCATCAGAGCAAACCTGAAGGGCTTAAGTGACAATTAAAAAATAAAGAACGCTTGGGCTCTAAGGGAGGTCGATTTTGTACTTTTTTCAAAATTTTAACTTGCTGCGCCCTCAGATAGCTGGGAAATCATGTCAGGAATTAAGAACAATCTTGCTTTTTTTTCTATGCAAGCCAAATTTTTCGCAAATGAAAAGAAAAACTCAGTAAAAACGTCAATTTGACTAAAAATCTATGCAACAATTGAAGAGTGTAATCCAAAAAAAGTAATTTTATATTTTCCGATTTTTTAGATCTCTTGCTTCCATTTTCAGTACGAATGTTGCTGTGTCGTTATAAATTAGCAAAATCATTGCCGAAAATTTACCCTTTTATATTTTTTAAGTGTAAAGTTACCCCTAACTTTACACTTAAAAACTGCAAACCATACGTTATTAGATAATTCTTCAATTTTTTTTTAAATAATCAAACTGTGGCATTCCCGGTCTTACTTTGCAGCTTTTAACTATATACTATTTTTAGTTATAAAACAGTTTAAATACAAGTTGAGGTTGAATTTTACAGGGTTGCATGACAGTGACAAATCCAAGAATATTTGGTGGGGGGGGGGGGGGTGAATTTATTTTTGTATTTTGTATGAGATTTAAGTCTCCTAAAAAAAAATAGGTCCTCTATTTCTAAAAAAATTTTAGTACTTTCAGATTCTGGTTGTTTATGCATCTTTCCATTCCCCTGGATCTGTCACTGTTGTATGAACTTGTGAAAAAAGGTAGCAAAAAAGTAGCTGCGTTTTTGAAAAAGTAATTAAACTTTTTTTAATAATTTTAAATTTTTTTTTTAGTTTTTTAAATACTCAAAGATTATCAAACAAAGAGGGATTAATTTTTTATTTAACTTAGGTATTATAAAATTTAAATTTAACACTCATTATACAACGTTACAGCTAAACAAAAGTATTTGGTTTTAGATTAAAAAAAATAATTAGTTTTCAAAATATTCTCAGATCCTCAAGTGCAATCGTTTCATATACCAAGTAGAGCACGGCCTTAGCTTCCTAAATATAATTTAACAATAGTTAAAAAACTAGCAACTAATAAATATTTCAATTATATTTTGGTTATAAATAGATATCACATATTTGGTTATCACTTTGAACATAGACAAAAAATTTAATTATGACAAAAAATTTAATTATTTAATTAACTTTAAATTTGTTATAATACTATAAATTATAGCATTGGAGTGTTGAGAAAATTAAAAACAATGGATACTATATCGTAATCTTTTTTTGAATAAAACTTTTTTCTTGATATTCGACTTTTTTGCTTCCCTACTGCTAAACCATGTCTATTCTGTAAAGAATAGGCTTTTTTTGAAACCTCAGAAACAAGCTTTACAGCACGCTCAACAGACTGACTATGTAGCGGAAAGTCCCAACCAAGCTCACAAGGATCTGGTTTACATTCAATTGTATTGAGTAGTTCCAGATAAGTCAGGTTCTTAGTAGCAGGAGGTTCATAGATCAGTTTATCATCAAAAAGCAGATCTGCCCATGTGTCACATTCAATTTCAAGATTTCCAATATTTGGGATTTTGTTAATTCTGATACCACCATATATTCTATCAACTGGGGCAGCCGGAGGATTATCTCGACATTTTAAAATCAGCCTAACTGCTCTGTTTTGTATTTTTCAAATCAGCCGGAGGATTATCTCGACATTTTAAAATCAGCCTAACTGCTCTGTTTCGTATCTTTCAAATCATCAACAAAAAGGGATAAAAGAAAGTTTTCTGGAAGAAGACAATACACATTTCTTAAAACAACAGGTAGTATAATGTCTTGTATAGTTTGGCTAAAATTTTTTATATTTTTTAATGTTGTGTATAAAATTTTTGGCGCTTCAGTAAAGTTCTTTGATCTTTTAATAGCAAACCATGTGGGGCCATACTCTGTCTGTATGTAATTTACTATCTCTTTAAGGACAGGAGTAGGTTGTTCTGTTCTTGAATGCAAAACTAAAATACGTATTGCTAATGTCAGCCACCTAGCATGATTAACTGGACCAATTTTATAATGAGCGTAAACTGGATTTACAACACCTAAATTTAAATAGATTTAAATGTTCTTTTTTAGCAATAAGTTATAATAGGAGTAAACGCCTGTAATTAAATACATTAAGTAGATTAATTTTTATGTTATGTATTTTTAAAATATGCTTACCTGAACTTATACCACACACATATTCCAGCAATAACCTTTGATCAGAACTTAAGTCATTGATCACACTATTTTCTGGAAAAACTAAAGAAGTCAAAACAGGTTCGAATTTGGCAATGGGTTTATGATGAAGGTCTTGTGCTGCACCTTTTCCAATTTCATCAAAAAAGGTTTGCGGAGTGTTTGTACCGCCATCTAGCTGTTCTATAATATGGCGCAAAGGTAACTCGTTGCTATGAAGTGCACAGCCAATTTTATGAATTGTTCTGCCAAGTTTTCTTTCAAGGCTAGCACAAAGGCCAGTTTTATATCCAGTGTTGACATTTGTAATGTCAAAAACAATTCCTAACAAAGAATCAACACTGTTGTATTGTTTTAACACTTCAAAAGTAGACTACGCTAAATTTTCTCCTGTGGCATTTAAAATATCTTTGTGTGTCAGATATCTACCTTTCATTTCTCCAGATTCTACTGTAAAACTTAGATGATAAACCTTTTCTATTAATTTATTTTTTTTGCTAATACTATCTGGCAACATACTTCTATAAACCAGGCTACCTTTATCATCCTTACTGTCACATCCAATACATGATAGATTTTGCACTATGATATTGTGTTCAGCAACAGACTGAAGACAAACCCTTTTTTTAGCTTGATTCATTTTACTTTTATCTAAAACATCAGTTTTATCAGTTTTAGTAATAACTCCAAGATCTTTTAAAAGTCCATTACCAAGAGCTGCAGCAGCTTCACTCGATATCGCATACCTAAAAATTTACAATAAAATAAACAATTTTATGCGAAAACATAATAGAGTAGATTATAATCAAATTCAAATATAAATTGCTAACACATCCATAAAAACAGCATTTTCAAGTCTTTCCATTGTATTTCTTGTAGGAAAAATTTTTAATTTGGAAAATTATTTTTATTCTTATTATTTTTTTAAAAACACTTTTTATTTGTAAAATTCCTGAATAATTAGAAATTTTAAGGAGAACAAATTTAAAAGAAAACTTCAAAAACTAAATAAACAACACAAATACGTATTATGTAATAATAAACAACTACTTAAACTAAAAGTTACTAACCGAACACACTCTAAAGCAAAGTTATCCAGCTTTCTTAAATTATATGTTGAAATAGCAATTGACTCATTATATTCTGAATCTGATGATGATTCCTAAAATTTAATATTTTTATATATTAAAGCATTTATCTTCATATATATATATATATATATATATATATATATATATATATATATATATATATATATATATATATATATATATATATATATATATATATATATACATATATATATATATATATATATATATATATATATATATACATATATATATATATATATATATATATATATATATATATATATATATATATATATATATATATATATATATATATATATATATATATATATATATCGTTTGAATGAGAAAACTATAAACTTGTTCTTATTCTTACTATATCAAACTCCAAATTTATATCAAAAGATGATTCGCCATTATCATATGAGGGTACTTTAACATTAGAACACTTTCCTACTCTTCTTTTTTCTTTTTTTACTGAGCTTCAATCTACTGAATGTTTCCTTTTGTGCCATTTCTTGATCTTTGGTCTTTGATGTATTCTCGTTCCTCCAGCGGAATCTAAGCAAATTTAAATAAAATATCATATATTTATTTAAAAAAAACATATAAATAAATGATAAATAAGTAGATAAATTCTTGTGAACAAAGTTCAAAAAAACTCTGTAGAAAAAGTTAAATTCTTAACTAGCCTTGCACTCTGGAGGACAAACACATACTAAATGGTTATTATTGCAGGTTAGATATTTGCATTTGACCTTATCATCATAGCAGGGAACTTCGTCTAAATTGCATCTACAGGTAGATATATCATAAAGATTTTCCAACGCATTATATGCTGCAACTTGAGGTCTTTTTTTGCACTTTTTTCCATTAATAAGTTTCATTGTGTTAAATGTTTTGACCAATTTTAAATAAATTGACTCACTTTTTATCAAGGGCAACTTTGGATTTACTTTTAACCAAATTTTCACAAGTTCTTGTTGGGTTTTATCAATTATGTTTGATTTATTTTTTAACTCAGATTGTACAAAATAAAAGTATCTATAAATGTCTCTATAAGTTGGTAAATCGCTTGCATTTTGAACCTCCGATGAGTTTTTTAGTGGTTTGTCTAGTTTTTGGAGCCATTTATTGCATGTTTTTTTAACAGCACTTTTTTTATTTATTATTATTATTATTATTATTATTCAGCCGATCGGTTTGTTTACAATTTTTTAGGTAAATTTTTCCCGCGTTTTCAGAATTTTCTTGTTTCTTTTGAATTGCGAATTTATTTTTCAAGTCGTAAAAAATGAAAAAAATTGTACATATAAACATAAACGCGAAAAAACTGAAGCAAATTTGTTAAAAAGTTTTAATTAGTTCTTTATTTGTTTAAAAAACTCTAGCTATCTGAGGGCACAGGTAAGTTGATTTCAAAAATCGACCTCTCTTATTGGGCTCTTATGTTACAGAAAGTTATTAGGGTTTAGATATTTATTTGTTGAGATTTTTACATTTTAAACTTTTGTGTTTTTATCAGCTGCGTTTTTTGAAAACTTAAAATGCGATAACTTGATATTTGATATAGTATTTGTTTTCAAATTTTTAGGATTTGTTTACAACATATATGTACTCCATTTAACCGTCAGAAATTTTATAAATCACTCTAAATATTGATTTATAGACTTAAACATTACAAATTATTTCGCAAAACTATTGAAAATTGATGGGTTCATCCAAAAAAGTCAATAACTTTACGATAAAATCTGACAGTTAAATGGAGTAAGTATATGTACTGTAGAATGTCCAAAAATTTAATAGAAAAAAGAAAAAGACAAAGTAATTTGAGAATTTTGAAATGAGATCAATTATTTTAATTTTGTAACCCAATTTTTCCCCCATTATAGGTTAGCCAAATGTAATTTTCTTTTTTTAAATCAGCTTAATTCTCTCCAACAACTTTTGAAACACTTAAATATAGGGGTTTTTTTATTTCTTAAAATCACCTTTTCTTATATGACTACCACCTTAACTCACATTTTCACAATCACGCTGATCAAAGACGTAAAATGGCATTTTATTTATCTAACATCCTTGCTTGTTACAGCAAAAATTTAAAACTAATCTAAAATAAAAAAGAAAGACAATGATGCAGCCCATGTTGTAGAAGAGAGTAACAAAAATGCAAGTAACAAATACCATATCCGAAAAAATGAATCTAGCTTACAAACGCTTAGAGACGCCACAAAAAAGCAAAAAAAAAAAAAAGAATAAGTATAAGTAATGTAGGAAAAAGAGCTTTTGTAGGTTGTTAAATGCAGCAGTCATTTTAATCCATAAAATAAATAAAGATGTAAGTTAATTTACTATGACTGTTTTAAAGTTTGATTCTGAAATAATAAGTAAAGCTGTATTAAATGCAGTATTTTACGAGCTCCCAATGACGTAATAATTAAAATTGTACATGACTTTTGGTTAGTAATAAACAATAGTTTTGCAATAACAAACAAAAATTAAATTGAGTAGAACATAAGAACCACGCTAACTATAATCCGTGGATACATTTTTAACAAGCATATTTAACATAATAGTTTAGTAGTGAAGAAATAGAAAAGTTACGATCTAACTTAAAAATTTAGAAATCTCAAAGAAATCATGAAATTTAAAAAATATATTGTAACCTTTATTAGTCTGCAAACCAATTTATTTGTTATTATGAAAAAAATTTAAAACTGACGAGATTTTGTTTTGCTTTTATGTTCGATTTGCATTTTTTTTTAAATATACACATCCAAAAATATTTTGTAAATAAATAACTTGCATATATACATATTGTATAAACATTTGTTTATATGATATTTATATATGCATTTTTAAATAAATGCATATATATGTACATACATTTAAATAAAAATGCATATATTTATTTTAAAATATCAAAAAATAATTTGTGTCTGTTCAAAAATATTTTTTAGCAGTTTATTTTATTTATTTTTAATAGTGTAAGAGCCTTTCACCTATTTTAAATAGTTGGCTGGTCTCACAAAGTGAAGTAAAAGTAACTCAATTGTTTGTTCTAGCGAGAGTTGATTTTTTCATCGTAGTATTTAAATCAATTACAATATCAGCAACTGGCATAATAGATGGGTGCTTTAAATTTGCTTGAGTATCAGAATTTTTATTTCTTGCTGGGTCAAAAACTGCAACAACATAAGTTATTGTTTTGTCTACAGATTCAGCTTGGGCTATACCAACTCTTTCTGAAGACTTCCATATCATTTGGATAAATTCTTGGTTATTCATGGTAATCTTAGGATTTTCATAATGAAAGTTATCTTTTTGAGAATACCAGTTTTCAAGTGTTTTAGCGCATGGTGTTTTAAAGAAACTTTTGTTATGAAATACATAACCTATATTAACTCCGGGTTTTTCTAAATAGACTAAATTCTTTGACGGTATTTTTTGAAACGCAATCCGTCTACCAATATCTAAAGCTTTAATGTACAGGTCGTGTGACCACTTTAGACCTATAGCACCGTGTCTTTTTCGGTACCCATTTAGTAGCGAGAGACATTCATTTCCAGATTCAGTTATTTTCAGATGAACTAAATAAGAAAGTTAAAAAAGTATTAGATAAAAACTTATCAATTTTTAAAAATAGTAATAACTTGTTACCTTAGTTACCTTGACAAGAGGAATTTTGACATGCTTTTGATGGTTCTAAACATATATGTTTTATAGGTCCAACGCAAGGTTTAATTAATTGGTTACTACAGTCACAGCTTTTGATGTTATACGACAATCGCTTTTTAGCTTCTAAAAGTTTATTATTTTTAGATAAAAAATCAAATTGATTTTCTGCAATCTTTTTACTCAGAAGGCTGACAATAGCTGAAGCAATATCGTCAGCAGATTCTGTACTGTTATGAACAGAATTTTGTATAAATGATGCTGATTCATCTTGTTCAGGTTTTTTTAAGCTATTTAGATTAGTCTTGGCTCGACTATGCTGACTTTCAGTTAAAATTTTACTGTTATTAAATTGGAAAGATTTTGAAGCAATGTTTTTAGGCGAATTAACATTATTCTCTTGAGTCAATTTAGATTCAAATCGGGAAATAAGCTTATCGACTACAACATCGTCGTCGCTGTTTTTTAATGAATGAGTTCCAGAAGAATTTTTAAAAGTGCTTACAAAATTTTTTTGACTTTTTGTTATATTGCTTCCGGCAGGTAAAAATTCTAAACTTATATCTGTTGGTAACGTAATGTAGCTATCTTGAGATTGAGCCATGTCTGATGCTAAATGAGAAATTAAACTATTTACAATAAAATCTTCTTCTACTTTTTTTGAAGAACGTGTTCTAGCAGAATCACTTGTTGAAATTTCAGCAGACTCGCTAGTTACATTAATAATATTTTCCATCTCTTTGTCTACAGATTTTACATTCACATTAATGGGTTTAGGTATAGCAATAGGTGCTGATGATTCATTAACCATAGAAGCTTGAGCTGAGAGTAGTGAGCTCATGTTGTTTAAAGTTTGATAGTCTGTTAAGTTGTAATTAATTTTATCACTGGATGAATTATTTGATGAGTTGTTCTTTAAACCTTTTATTACGCTGTTTGACGAATTGTTTAACATTGTTTCTAGTGTGTTTAATTCATTCAAATGAAAAGTGGCATTTCCTAAAAAAATACTTTTGTTAATGTTAAATGTTTGAATTATTGAATCTTTTAACTTACCTTATGTAGCTACCTATTGTAGCTCTAATGTAATCCTGTACTATTTTTGCGCTTTAAAATAATTTTTAAAACTTTAAAATAATTTTTAAAACTTTAAAATAATTTTTAAAATTTTTTGTTGATAACGTTCATAAATAGTTGGTAATAAAGCTTACGTGGACATTGCGTTTTGTTACAAGGTTTTCTTTCCTCTGTAGCTCCTGTACACTGCATAAGAAGACAATTTCTTCTTCGCATAACTGATCCACGTAAACAAGAACATTTAGACCAGCTCGACCAGTCTGAAAACATTCGTGCACCTGAATCATCTAAATTAAAAATAAAAACATGCTAAGTGAAAACTCGTTGTGAAATGCTTCTGGGTAAGCAAAAAAGTATTAGTATAGAAGATTTTGAATGTTTTCATAGAATTTATTGCCATAATAGTTCTACAGCAGTTTTTTATCCACTTACTCTGATTTTGTCTTCTTGTTTTTCATTTCGTAAGTCCAAATATGGCGAGCTTGATTCGTTAAACAATCAAAAAAAATGTTGAATATTTATAAAATCATAGAAGCAATTAAAAACCTTGATTCTTGTATCCGTGATGTTAGATTGGGTGATAATTATTTGAAAATTGCGTTGTTGTTTTACGCCCGCGCATTTTATTTGAAATTAACAAATATTTGATTAAATAAACGCGACAGAGTGAATTAATTTGATTAGTTTAAAATATAAGTTTTATTAGAATAATATGCCATCAAATAATTTAACTTGAAGTTGCGAGTAAACATTTCACTTTTACCAAAAGAACCAATAAATTCATAGTTTAGGATAAGTTTATTAACGATATAAAAATAGAATATAGCGGTGTCTTTATTGAAGCAAAAGTATCATCTGTAATTGATATTATAAATATAAATTACTATTATTGAAAAAAACAAGAAGTAATACTGTAAAATAACAAGACTTTTGTCAGAAAAATCCTTCAAATTTCGTAAAAAACGGTCCTGAAATTTCGTAGAAAAAATTTATAAAGATTTGTTGGAAAAAGTCCTAAAATTTCGAAGGAAAAAGATTTACTTCTATAAAGAATATTTCAAAAAAATTGTACATGATATAAAACATTGCGAGCTAATAGATACACAAAATAAAATACAAACAAATAAAAATACAAAACTTACAAAACCATGCATGAAAAGCATCTTCTGATTATTAAAGTCTACCAGATAATTCTGGCTTCGGAATGCAATCGCGCAATTAAAATGTGGCCCTGCCATTCAAATGCATAAAAATCTTTACACAATGAAAACTGAGTTCATACCAGAATTCCATATTTTTATTTCATTTAAAAAAATCAACCAACGTTTTTTAATAGTTTCAATCAAAATTTTCATTTTATAATTTTGATAAAATACGTGCAATAAAAATTATGCTATTAAAACAAAATTCCGGAATCTAGTATTTTTTATTCAAACACGTTCATGACACTATAAAAAAAATCATTGAAAATCAGGAAATAAAAAACACTAAAAAAATTCAGTTATAAATAAACCAAACTTTTCAAAATTTTATGTGTTATATAAGAGAGGAAAAAACTCCTCCTAGCATAAACCACGCCCTACTGTCGCATTTCCAGCATCAAAATGATTACCAACTTGTTTTGACTTGTAATTTATATATATATATATTATATATATATATATATATATATATATATATATATATATATATATATATATATATATATATATATATATATATATATACAAAACAAAACGATTATCATTCTGATGCTAGAAATGCAAAGCAATCGCAGTAGGATGTGGTTTATGCTTGGAGAAGTTTTTTTCTCCCTCGTATAACACATATAAAATTCTGAAAAGTTTTATTTATTTATAACGTAACTTTTTAGAGTTTTTATATGTCTTTTATATCCTGATTTTTCAGTAACTTTTTTTTATAGTTTTGTTTTAATAAGCGTACCTGACTATAAAACACTGGACTCCGGGATTTTGCTTCAATAGTATAATATTATATATACACATACGAATTTAATACATATATACACATATGAGTTTAATGATAACTGTTACACTTCTGTTATGTATAAATTTTTATTTTTTTCTTGTACGAATTACAAAACATTTTTATTGCAGATTCAAAACGTGCTTCATCACACTATTAACTATAAATGTGTAAGAATTTAATGCAACATTTTTTTTTTTGATACTTTTCATGTATTAATAAAGCAAGAAATATAATCTAGTATGGTTTCACTTCAGGTTCTTTAAATTCTATAAGTTCTTTAGTTTCATGCCTGTTCACTGATTTCTCCGATTGAAACTTAGATATTTTTTCCATATTACTTATAAAAAAATTTCTCAGTGCGAAGCTATCAGTTAAAAGGATTTCCTTACCTTCAGGGAACATTCCATCATTTTTGTCCGTATTATTAACGAGGGAATTCTCCGTATCAGTAGTGTTTAAAAAGTTTGTTTCATTTTCTTTGCTTTCCTTATTTTTTAAAACGTCCCCATTATATAGATTTTTTGAGGTGTTTTTTGCAACTTCTTGTTGTAACACATTTGTGCTTTCTTTAACATCGTTAGATTTTTCTTTTTTTAGTTCTTTCATAAATTTATTAATTTCGTTTTCAATATTCAGAACTGAGTTCAATGTAGAATCTGCGGACGTTTCGGAAAGATATATTGCGGAGTCGTTTATTTTCTTGTTTTCAAGTAATTTTGCAGGGTCTTTCAACTTTTCCATTGGAACTGAATTCAAATGAGATAATGTAGCTTGTTGGAGCTTGTTTCCTTTTTTTATTTTTGACCGGCAGCCAAACATTTCTAAAATTTTTGATGCACATGGACCTTCTTTTTCGATCTCTCCTTGCTTTGTGTGTTTGGAAGTGATATCACAAAGTTTTAAAAAATATTCGCAGTTTTTTAATTTAATATGGCGACAACTCGAATCAGTCGGATTGCAGTCAGAAGTTGTCAGTAGTGAACCAGAAAATGAAGGTGCTGAGCCGGGAGCATTGCTTTTGCTGTTGTGTTGCATTAGCTGTAGAAATGATGGAGTTTCCTTAAAATCATACTCTGGAAATGCTCTATTCTCATAACTATAGCCTGGATCAGTAGATTCTTGATTTACTGCACAATAAATAAAACAATATAAATCAAAGAATTTATAAAGTGATGATTTTAGCAAAAATTTATATGCTTCACCGATGGTGCACAAAAGTTTAATCAAGACTTTTATAAAAAAAAATTTTCTTTCTCGCATTTAAATTTAATATAAATAGATTTTAAGTTTATTTACTTTGTTTTTTGTTATTTGCGTTTCTGTTGGTAAAATATCAGATGAAAAAATTTCAGACAAACTACGTAGCATCCGTAAAACTAGATGAAAGTTGGAAAACTAATTTTACGGATAACATAAAAGTTTATTTAGATTACCTTTTGTAACAATAATATTTTATTTAATTATCACATTAATTAATACAGTTACTGAGAATTCATTATGCTTTCTTAAAAAGATTATTTTAATTTTCAAAACAATACTTTAATTGCTAAATATTTCAAATTTAACTTGCATTGTTACAAATTTAAGATTGAGTATTAATGTGTCAAAAACCCGTGATAGCGATAAATGATAAATTACTGAACGAAAATAAATTACCAACAAAAAAAATATCAAAAAAATATGGCATTGTTAAAATAGGCATTCTTGCGGGTATTAATAAAATTTGCGTGCAAAATTTATTAGTACCTGCCTAACAGATAAAGTCGTCAAACATTCAATATTCCATTTCTAGTCGAATTATAAGTTGAGAACTCGTTGGACAAAAATCAGCAATAATAGTATTGGTCCTTATATTGCAATAAAAAAATCGTTTCTGCCAATCATGGATCTAAGAACAAGGATATTAGACACAAAGAACAAAAATGGCGCAATGAACGTTTGCATTGGATAGTAGAAGATTGAGAAAAGTGGTTTGGAGCAATGAGTCAAACTTTCAGATTATAAACTTAAAAAAAAAAGAAATATTACTTTAAAAGACTCCTCTTTAAAAGATTTACAAGTTAGAAATATTTCAAACACCTTTTAAAAACAAAACATCATGTGGTGGAGGCCCAGTAGACCAATAGGAATATTTTTCTTACAAAGGTCTTGGAATGTGTGAGCTATATAATAGCAGATCAATCCTTCGAGATTAATACTTCTTTTGTACCTCCAACAATACACAAGAGTTATGTTAAGTTTATTCGATAAGAATTAAACTAAAATTCAAAGATTGAAGAATCAAACAGTATATCTTTCAACAAGACAGGGCTCTGCCACATGACGCACTGGTTTAACAAAAAAAAATTATCTTGTTGCTTTTAACCATTAATTTCAATCAACTGAAAATTCGAATTTTGAAATTAGAATATTGATTAGGTGTCAAGTGAGATGTGTATTAAAATGAACAAATCATTGTAAAGATGAGTTTTTCTTTGTTATCAAATAATAGGAAGGCACTTAAAATATTATATATATATATATATATATATATATATATATATATATATATATATATATATATATATATATATATATATATACATATATATATATATATATATATATATATATATATATATATATATATATATATATATATATATATATATATATATATATATATATATATATATATATATATATATATATATATATATATATATAGTTTCAGTTCTAAACCTGAACTTGATTAATCTTTTATGGATTTTTATTTTGATTACTTAATAATTGACTTTTTTTTAATTAACTGATATATGCTTTTGTAATTTTTTAACTTAATTATAATAATTGTACAGCTAATTGATTTTCTTTTTTAAAATAAAAAAATAAATATTTTAACTAAATTTTTTAATTAAAAAAGAAATAGAACGATTGATTGAATAATATCTCGATTAAACTTTTGTGCACGCTTGTATGTAAGTAAAAAAAAAAAAAAAAGAAAGAAATTACCTCCGTAATCTTGTTTATGATAAAACGGCGCTGCTTTAAGTTGCTGTTTCAACTTATGAATAATAGAAGGAGGAGGCAATTCAAAATTACCCCAAATATCATTTTCAGGAAATCCACCGTAAATATTAGGATTAGGCAACACAGTATTTGGCATATCGTCTTCTATCAAGCTTTTACCACCTTCAACTTTTTTATTTTTTTCACATTCATCTGTTGTACATTTTAAAATACTACTTTTTAACAAGTGTTTCTTTGAAATTTCATTATTACTTCTAAAGAAGCGGTTTATGTTAAATACCGATTTTAACATTGGCTTTGGACTTAAGTTCTCTCCTTTAAAATTCGTAGAAGATGGAGGTATGCTTCTGATAAAAGATGGAAGTATGCTCCTGATAGTATTTTGCTCAGAATAAAAACCTTTAGGTTTATGCAAAGTTGTGAGTACATCTAATATGTACATAAATAATGTTAAATAATGATAAACAAATAATAATAATAAACAGCAATAATGTCTAAAAACAATTAGATCTATAAAAAATAAAGAATAATAAAAATTTACCATTATGCTTTGATTGGCTCTTTGTCTTTGAGGCTAAAACAATTTTAAAACATTATCATTATCATGGCGTTTTAACAAAACCAAGTTTTTTTATTTAAGACAATATTCAAGAAGTAACTGCTAAAAATATTTGAAAATTAATTTGGGAAAATTGGGGCAAGTGATTTTTTTCAATCTATTATGTTTAAATAATAAGTATTGGAAAAATTTTATTCGTTTGTTGTGTTTTTTTTTTAAATTACGTATTATCTTTTTTTACTTAAAAAATTCTTTAAAGATTAATACAAACCGTTCATGCAAATGTTGAATGTAAACGTTTTATAGATTTAAATTCACCTTCGAGAGCCAAGCACAGTAGCACCAAGAAAGAAACAACCATGTATTGATAAATATTAACCATCATTATTTGGGCCATTTGTACCAAAATTACCTATAAATAAAAATAACAAAATGCAAATCTCTATTTCATATCTCAAAGCTAAGATTAAGCTTCCAGTAAAACATGACTTCTAAGATTGATTGCATAATGAAGAATTTTTTAAATATTTTAAAAGTGCAACAAATGTTATTATTTATTTATTATTCAGCAGTCATAAAAAAAATCAGAGTAACCTGTTTATTTATTGAACCTATTTATTGATGTGTTTTTAAAAATTAGTATAATTTTACCAGTAGTGTAACTGCCTTAGTACGTTTTTAAGATTAAATATGGAATTGAACATTTGCAATTCTTTGAGTTAAATACTTTTTCTACATACAAATAACTACTTTTTATATATTAAATTTTTTAAAAATTAGTTCGCCGCATAATTTTTCCGATTATATTCCAGAATTAAAATCGCCAATGCGCAATGCGGGCTGACAGCGCACCCAACCGTGAAATGTTCGTTACTTTAACGACTTTGCATAAGCGTTTTGGGAGTCCAATATTGTTAAAAAAATCAAACAATAAATTTAAATTTATTGAAAAAGTAAAACAGTTTAAAATTCAAAACATTTTGTCACTTCTGCTTTATTTTTTAAACTGTTTAAAATTAATAAGAATTAAATAACAAGATTGTGTGACTTAGTGAACCTGTTAAGCGTAACAACATTTGTATACCTTAGCAACTTCACAAAAGGTGGTACAACGTAAATTTCACAACAAAATAATAATATTTTAAAACTTTAATTTATAATAATTTATCTAACACTTTAGGTAACTTTCAAAATTTAACAGAAAGCTACAAATAGACCTTTAAAGTAATGCACAAACCGACAATAAATCAAGTTTAAATTCAACCACAGACTGAAAGCTGTTTAAATAAAACAATGTCGTGAGGTTGTTTTAGTAAGAAACAATTAAAACGCATTTATTTAAACGCAGGTTAGATGTGAATTAAAGATTTGAAAAATACATAAAAACATATACAGTGGTTTTCAAAACGGTATTAGTAAAATGAAAATTGAAACTATTTTTTTTTTTTTTTTATATAACTTTAATTCTTGTTTTTTAAATTCTTAATTGGCTAATTAGAAAACGCTTTTTTAATAAACCAAAAATCATAAACTTTTAAATGAAGTGTTACATATTCATTGGTTATTAAAAATGTACATTTTCATTAGTTTAAACCCACACATTTGGGTTAATAACATGTTTTTTAGTACGTTATATTTTTCCCTCATTAATTAAAACACAAACACAGAATCTTCTTGGCGTAGAATTAACCAATTTTTCAGAAAGTTTAACAGTTTTACTAGAATAAACAATATCAATTCAAAACTTATTTTTATTACATTTTATAAATAATCAGAGAAAAAGTAATAAAACAGTGTTTTAAGGTGGTACTACCCTATTAAAAACATCAAAAAACAAAAAAACAAAATTTTAAATTTTAACAGTTTGAACATCATGAATTACGAGTATAATTTTTTTTCCCTTTAAAAATTAATATAAAGTACTTAAATTAGTATTTAAAGGCAATAAGGTAATTTTCGAATCCCTAGCAACGGCCTTAGCAACTATGTCTGTTTATATGTTTGCTCTATTTTCACAACTTTTTTATTAGTTTAGTAAAAAGGTTATTTTGACACAGAACAAAATATTAAAGGTGGTTAATCATATTTTTGTGGTCAGTTTGGATATTTTTTTATTAGAGATTCTTTTAGTTTATAACATTTTTTATTTTAAAAGCTGTTTTTCTCAGAATAATATTTTTCAAATATTTTTAAACTAGAACATTAATATCTCAGAAATTATTTACTCTTTTTCTTTGAAATTTTCACAGCTTGTTCATTGATGTTGTAGAAATGGCTGGTAGTAAAACAATCAAAAAATACTTATTATTTCGACCAGAATTTAAAATTTTACATACCCCACGAACCATTTTTTATGATTTTTACAGGGTAATATCTACCATTTTACTTTTGCTCTGTAGTTTTAAAAAATTCTACGAGGGGCCCTCCATCAATCATTCAGCAATATGTTTGTAAAATTTAAACCTTTTATCTCAAACTTTACTCAAGTTATTTATGTTCTTGTGACCGCATGTTTTTTGGTTTTTTTTGCTGACTCAGCATTTTTTTTATACAAATAATTGAATATAAAAAATGATGTTTTTTATATTCAGTTTTTTAACTACTATCGAAAAATGTTTATCATTATAAGAAAAATATCATATTTTGAAAAATAAAAAATGTAGGGTAGTACCACCTTAAACGAGAGAAAATTCTTTAAAAAATTTCCAAAAAAATATAGTACATCTGAACTTTTAAAATATTAGCTGACAGTTTATTTATGAAATTAATTCGATTTCTTTTATTGGTGTAATGCAATTGATTATATAAAAAGTTTAAAAGTTGTTACCTTATTTTAAGAAAAAATCAATTGAAAATAGTTTAGTTGGGTTTTTTATGTTCATTGTTCAAATCTTAAATTGTGTATGAATTACTAAGTATTAATTAATTATGTCTAACTTGCAGGAATTTTATTGGACGGAAAGTAAAGCCGCTTTTTCTGTTTACATTTGTAAAAAGGCAAAATATTATATAGTTAATATTGTGGAAGCCATTTTTTAATTAGTTCAAAAGCAGTTTCACTTTTCAGATCGAAGTTAGACATCTTGTATAATATAATGTATCATTGATTAAATCTTATCAAGTTATAAAAAAACAAATTGTTTAACATGTGAAAAAAAAATTAATGACAAAATGTATGCCAATATAAACCTTTGTGTACAAAAAAATCAGTAATTATACAAAATAACTTTTTTAAACTAGTTTTTGTGAATATTTATTTCTTTTATAGAAAATTTCCTCTAAAATAATTATTGATTACTGTAAGAATTAATGTGTTTTTTGGTGGAACAAAAGTTCTTTATTTTATAAACTTTTTAAAGTTTTCAAATTATAATGTGTTAAAGCTATTCGGTAAATTAACCATATTAAAAATTGTTTGTTTTGTAATTAAAAAAAAAAAAATAATTAGTTTTCTAGTTACATGCTTTTCCATTTTAATATAAATAATTAGCTACTTTTGTCATGTTTTGGTTTGTTATTGCAACTAAAGGCAAATTTCTTATTTAAAGATACGTTACTAACTAAAACGAAACTAAGTGAAGCTTAAAAACAGGAGTAAATTTAATACAAAAAATCCAACTTTTTTATTTTGGTTTTCAAATACACTAAATTTTAGATTTAAAATAATTTTCATTCCTTAAAAAGTTGTAAAATAAATTATTTTGCTTTTTATTAGATTAAAGGTTTACAAGTTTTCATATCAACCTAGCAATTGAATAATTTGCACTTTTTAATTGATTTACAGAGTGGCATGTCATCTCATCCTAAATAAAAAATCTTGTCACACGAACTTTACAATTTAGCTAATTCGGTCTCATTTTCTGGGATATGCCTTTTTTTTCTTTTTAAAACCAAATGTCGATGGTTCAGAATTAAGTCAGAGAAGCAATTTAAAAGGGCAATACAAAAATGTTCAGTTCCTGAACATGTTACTCCCTTGACAATGTATTTTTTTTTTCATCAGAAACGTAGCAATAGGCTTGCAAGACTTGTACTTACGAGAGAGTCTGGAGCTGTTGAAAACTCAAGGATGGCTGGGGAACAAACAAGGATGGCTGAGGAACAAAGTTTAATAACTTTTACTATTACAATTCGTTACAAAACGTTAAATTAAAAGTTTTCAGAACATTTTTTAAGCTTTTATAAACATCTTGAGCAGTATTTCAAATTTTGTTATACCTAAGCATTTTAAATAGACTACAATTCACAAACCATAAAAATAATACACAATTTTTATTTTGTCTTTAACTAATGTGTTGTAATAAAAGGTATTTTAATAGCTAATATTTTAACCATTAGCTATTAATATAATAATGTAATTATCAGAGTGCAAATATTTAACAATTTAAAATTTTTTTTACCGTGCTTATTATATATATAATATACATGACATCTATAATTTTTTTCTGGAGTAAGAAAAAGACACATAGCCCTGTTTACATCGCCACATTGTGTGTGTGTATATACAAAAAGAAAAATATGTATATAAATTATAACAAATACTTTTCAATAATTTGTTAAACAAAACTTATAACTATAATATAATTTTGTATAACTGCAATTTTTCAAATACATACTTTTCGAAAAGGCATTCAACTCATTATAAAATAACTGATTTAGCCAGCTTGTTTTTAGACGGGTTTGCTAAAAAAACTCTCGGGTTGTTCATCGTAAAAAGCTATTGACACTTCATCATGAAATCATTTTGTAGAAAACAGAAACATTAAGTAATAAGTAATAACCGACAAAATGAGTAATAAACAACAATTGGCTACAAAGTTATCTTTAAAAAAAAAGACGAGAAGTATCTTAAGACTCAACATATAAAAGGTTAGAAACAATAAGCTGTGGAGTTCCCAAAGAATATATTTTTGGACCTTAACCGTTTCTAATTTATATAAATGATAATAACAATTAATTGTGTTCTTATTGCTGATCACACAAATTTTATTCTCATTCCAATATAAATATAAAATATATAAAAGTTATTCTTTCTACAGTGAATTTTAAAACAAAATACCTACTAAGTAAAAAATGTTTAAATAATATATATTACTCTTTAATCCGTTGCTAAACTATTTATTGTAATATTGCTTGCGTAAGTACTTGCTCTTCAGAATTACAAAAATATATAAGAAAAACGAGCCAGTTAATTGCATAAATAGAAGATCATCAAGCCGTTATTCTCAGAAATTTAAGCTCCTAATGTCTATTAGTTAGAACTGTACCAATATATATATTTTTTCATGTTTAAATATTAAAATGACATGCTTCCAAATTTTTTTAATAATCAATTTTCAGAATTAATCATTAACACTTAAAAAGGTAATCTATTAACAATTTAAACTTAACAAAATCAATTCTTAAAAAAAATAGATTAATCAACTTAATATAGAGGACCTCGTCTATAAGACATAGTTTTTGATAAAAATATAAAAAGTACATTAAATAACACTATGTAGCACAATTTTTGTTCCTTGCTTCTAAGTTTTATATTTCAATTGCTTATGTCTAAAAGCATGTGAAACTTTACTTGCACAACAACAGCACAAAGAAAACCTGTTTTTTTGTGAAAATAGAACGATTTTTTATTTATTTATTTTTCGTCATTACGATTAGGTAAAAACAAAAATTGCACAAAAAATAGACAAACACAGTCAGAAACCACTCAACAAGGTTCAAAATTTTCACTCTCTCAAAGTAACCAGCTAATGTAGTCCCCCATCATGTTTTTGTTATATTGTCTTTGGTAACGACGTTCAAAGTTAAATATATTTTAATGAAAGCCCTTGCTTTGCTCCTCGGAGTAAGCGTCATATTCTTCTCTGAATTTATTGAGATGCGAATCAAGGAAATGGACTTTCAGAGACATTCTGCATCCCATTTTGGCATAATTCTTTATGAGAATCTGCACCGACTCCACATAGTTTTCAGCTTTATGATTACCTAGGAAACTCTAAACAAATGCAATAAAACTGCTCCATGTTGCTCTCTTTGTCCTGTTCAACAGCTTTGCAAAATCCTAACATTCTATGATCTTCTTGATCTGTGGTCTGACAAATATACCATCCCTGATATGCCTAAGCCTCGGTCAACTTTGGAAAAAGATCTTGGAGATATTGAAATGCTGCTGACTCCTTGTTAAGAGCAGTTACTAATTACTTCATTTTTGCCTATGCGACAATTTTTTCGGTTTACCATGCAGAAGTAGCAATAGCTTGAGTGGTCCGTCGGCTCTCGTCGAATTTGCAGGACAGCAAACTTCATGGCTTGATTCTCTCCTCTGTACCAACCTGTAACATAACAAATTATAATACATAAGAATTATAATAATTTGAGGGTAGGAAATTTCAAAATATGTAACGATTTCGTAATAGAACGTATTCGTCTACAGTACAAGACTTATGACAAAACGTTGTAAAATACAACTCGTTGAAATGAAGTAGATCTAAAGCCAAAAGCAACTGTGTAATTTACCTTCAAGTATTTTCTTGCAATATTCGCATGCAAAATGCGGTGCTTAAAATTTGTTTTGGTCCCCGACCGGTACGCCGAAGTACGCCTTTTTTAAATTAATCATCTTGCTTCCCCGGAATAATTTTTTTAATTTGTCTTTATGAATTGTCCATACACCTAGCAGAATAAATCAGCTGGATGCAAACAACCTCTTGATACCATATCAAATAATAAACTTCTCTGCAACTACGAATTGTTATCCTTTCAGTCTGCAATAAAACGAACTTGAATCTTGATTTAAGACACCTGTGCTTTTATAATTGTACAGCTACTTTTGGAACGTTCAAGAATGTTCTAGTAAGTTCTGAGAGTTTCTCGAAAGTTCTGGAAGTTTTTTGAATACTCTAGAGTGTTTAGGAGAGTTTTAGAAACATCTGGACAACTCTGGCAGTTCAGGAATATTATAGGAGGAAGCTCGGTACTAAAAGAAAATTGAGAATTTTCTAGAAAACATGCGATTTTCCAAATTTTATTGTCCCGGTTACAAAAACAAAGTTTTTCTGAAATAACAGTTTTCTTTTCTGTTGTAGACCTAACGAATTAAGAAAACACACTTTCAATCCAGGAACAGAACAAAAGTGAACATTTGTTACATAGTGTAATCAATAAATTGTGTAGAAAGCCAAATTCATTTTGTCCATCACTTTTTTCACTTCATTTTTTTTATGATTCCACACCCCTGTCTAACAAATTGAAAAAAAAAAAATTTTTCTACTAAAATATTTAAGCATAAGATATAAATAATGTATATTCTAAAAAATACGTAAAATGAAGTTTTAATACTCATAGGAGCACAATAAATGGGATTGTCATAAACAAGAGATTAACTTAAAAGTATGAATACAAAAATTTAAATGTACAAAAAAACTTTATGTTTTGATTAAATACGTTTATATAATACAAATAAGGGATCATCCTTAAAGGACGTCACGCTAAGTTTAACTAATGGCAAGAGGTCGGAGAATGTTGGCTCAGAAATTTTTAGAGTATTATACCGCTTAGTATTTAAATTCTGAATTACGTCCTTTATGAAGGACCCCCTAACAAGAACTATTTACAAACTGACACTAAAGACAAACTTTGAAAAAAATAATCCATGCGTTATGTTTTCAGATAAATTATTTGAACATAATAATCTGGTTTTAAGTACACCATATAAAATACTAAATGTGATAAATAAATAATTATATTATAACTAATATAATTATATTAAATTGTTATTAACTACTACATTATATACAACATAATTCATAATAATTATTATTAAAATGTATTGTAAGTATTTAAGAAAAATTAAATAAATTATGCACAAAAAAAAAAAAAAAAAAAAAAAAAAAAAAAATCAAAACTAATAACAAATAACTGGTCAAATTTGATTTCAAAAAATTTGGATTAGCAAAATAGATTATTTCCATCAATAGTTCTTTACCTAGCAGAATTCGTGTTCTTTGAGGATGCAAACATGTTTGATAACTTTTTTTGGCACCAATAATAATTGTAATTAAAGCAAAACTTGCAAGTTTGAAAAAGATTAATGTCAATCTATGAAAACACCATTCCTTTATGTGTTTATAAAAGTAGCCTTACGTAACCAGGTACGGGATTTAAAGTGTTTAAAATGAATCTTCAAATAGGCAATAAAGAGAGGGAGAATATTGTACCCATAAACATAGTAATCAGAATAAAAGGAGTAAAAACATTCCAAACTGGCCATAACGCTATACACATACTAAAAAACAAGATGACAAGTTTTAAAAAAGGAGATGGCCATTATTAATTATTATTATTATAAGTAATAACGACTATTATTATGAAAAGTAAATATGAAAACTCACATAACCATGCCGGTTATAAATAACACGGTAGCTACAGGTACTGCAAAAGGACAGTGAACTTCATAATCAGAGATTCCTTTATAATAGTGGTAATAGCCTATCATGACAACAGCAATAAGTACACTAACAAATATCATTGCCAAACCGGGATACAAATATAAACTAAAAAAATTAATCAACACTTAATTACAACTGAAAATATTAAATTTTGTTAGAGAAAATGTTTGGCCTCAATTTCAAATAAATTCATTAATGTACTATTGCTAAAAAATGTGACTAACCGTTCTATCCGCGTATCGACTCTCAGTGCAATGTAGAAGTCCGTATAATGGAATGTTGCAATGCCAGCTAGCATCCAAAATATAATATGCAAGTAATGGCTTATTGAAGTTTGTTTTTTGTATTTTTCCAAAATCTGCTCGTTTTTGTCATTAAAATTATCTAAAATAAATCGCTTTGTATAGTATTACAAATGTACAAACATTGCTGAATTGCAATAAAAATATTTCCTAACCTTCAGTAAACTCATCAAACTTGCGACTTCGGCATCGAGGAACACCCAACAATGATGCACTTTCAGACATCTTTTTTAAAAAAGTCTGTTATTAGCAACAAAATGAATTAAGTCAAAATGAATGTCAAAATATTGAAAAAAAAAAAAAAAAAAAAAAAAAATAATAATAATAACCTGTTGAAAAAAATATTAATGAGCAAAAAAGCTTTGAGAAATCACTTTAAATTTTTTATATTTAAAATGTATAAAAAAAGTGTGACAGCTATTCTTTAAAACAGAACTTTATTTTATTTACTAAAAAATGTACATTTTTCTTATCTTATACAGTTATTATTAAAAACTGATTTTATTCCTTTGAAACATTTTCGCATTAATTATTTTCATACTAACAATCAATTGTTTGTTATTCTCCTCTGAAAATATTGCGATTTTCACAGCGTCTAGCAGTTTCGTCATTATAGCTTCATTTTTACTATTTACACAAGATTTTTTCATTATGTCTGCTTGTCCCATCTCCATACAGAGCCATCATCACAAACAGCAATTAGTACTCTAAAAACATTATTTAAAATCATCACAAATAGCAATCAGTACTCTAAAAACAATATATTTACAAACAAAAATAAAATCAGTACTTAGACGGGGAGGGGTTAATGCAGAAATTTTCAACAGGTAAATGGTAGGAATAAGATGAAATATTTTACTTGATCGTATCGCTGTTTAAACCATCAGTTGATGTAGCAGCACTCCTTTGTATGTTCTTCCTAAATCAGTCGAAATACTGAAGCTTCCTTGCTCCTAACCCTTTTTCTGCACTTTATTTCCATATTTTACCCGTTGAAAAATTCCGCATTTCATTAATGTCCAACTTATATATAATAAAAAAATTTGTTAGTTTTAAATGTATTTTATATAGTTTTAGAGCTTTTGCTTATCGGTAATTTATATATAAACAAACATCAACTACAATAAATTTTCAAATACTTTTTTTTAAAACCCTGTTTACTAATGTCAGGGTTAGAGTAAAAAATTTCAGATTTACGTCTTCTAAATTTAATAATAAAATATCACAATAAAATTGCAGAGGCCACTGTTTTTTTTTCTGGTGAAAAATTAAAAAAAAATCTCAGTGATTTGAAAAAAAGTTTATTTTAAATAAAGATTGTTAATTCAAAATAAATGGTTAGAAATTAAAACCTCATAATGATGTAGATGACATACTTTAGTATTTCAAATGCAAAAGGTAGCATTTTAAATACATCAGAATAATTCATAGTATTTTAAATACATCAGAAATATGATATTGAGGATTTCTGCTTTAGCGAGTAAAACAATAGTTGATTTTGTGATTTTCGATTTTAACTTAAATTCTTAAGCAAAAAAATTAATTAAAATAGTCTAGTTACATAATTAAAGCCAACTTAGTAACCATAGTAAGCTAAAACGTGTAATCTTACTATTAAAGCAATATTAACTTTGAAGAGAACTTTACTGTAAAATTGAAAAAGAGTTATATTGTAAAGATTTTACTATTAAACAGTTAAATTATTTAAACCATAATATTATTTAAAAAAATAAAAATTAAAACCATTACTTAGCTGAACTATTAAACGAAATTTGGCGAACAACTGTTGTACACTTGGAATGAAAAAGTATCGTTGGTCTAAAATTGAAAAAATATAAAAAAGTATATATATATATATATATATATATATATATATATATATATATATATATATATATATATATATATATATATATATATATATATATATATATATATATATATATATATATAGCAAAAGCATCATCAAACGAATCTTAAAAACCTTTAAAAAGCCTATTCTTTGTTATAAAATAAAAGATTAGTTGGAACTCCTAAACAGAGTCTTTGGGGTCACCATTAAAGTACTCAACTTTATTTTAAATATTGTGATCAATTTATTGTTGACAATGAGTCTGACTTTGTTGAAAAGCACACATAGACTGGTACACATAAAAGCACACATAAACTGGTACACATAAAAGTACACATAGACTGGTAATAATATTTACTACTCAAATGATCAAAATTTGACGCCAGACAATTGATATGTTGCAAAACTTGAAAAAAACATTACTTATGTATATCTCCCCATGAGGGATTGCATCATCATCACGTTGTTCTTTCTGACCAAGCGATAAACCAAGAAATCTTTTTAAAAGAGTGTTTAAAAGGATGCACTTGCAACCTTTTATTAACAAATATTATTGAGACACCAAGTACACCTTTTGACTTGGTAACATTCACTATGCTAATTTGGTAACAAATTGGCTGAAAACCCAGAAGGTATCTTTTAGGTTCTCAGCCAATTTATTATTCAAACAAAAATTTGTTCAAAAAAAAAAGGGTTTTTGGGCAATCCTTTAACGGGATGTGTACAAAGATGGATGGTTGACAAATGGTATATCAAGTCTTGAACATAGGATTCATTATTGTGCCAGTAGACTTGACCTGAATGTTGTACAAAAGCT